TTCAGAGGCTTGGCTGATAGCCCAGAGAAATAGATAAGACACATAACCTTGAAAATTTTGAAACAACAGCTGTGAAAGGCTTTGTGTTTCTTACCCCCCAAAAAAAACTTTTCCTTTCTTTTGGACTTCCTAATTGTAAAGGCTTTACTTTAAAATATCAATATGGAAGAGGATCAGGAACAAAATCTCCTTATGGATAAAGATCAACAAATTCTCTCTATGTTGAAAACAATAATTCAAACTCTCAACACAGCCAATGAAAAATTAAGAAGCTATGGGAAGGAACAAAAAGACAGCCCAGATATGAAAGCCCAAATTTTGGCCACAACTAAAGAATCATCTATACAAAATATAATAGGAAAAAATAAAACATTCAAATACAATGATAGAAGAATCAACTACTCAACAAATATTGACATTTGAAAATCCAGAAAAGACACCAACAACTTGGAAAAAGGAAAAGGTTTCCTATATAAATCAGAAGGAATTGGAGGATCCAGAAAAAGAACAGTTGGATGAGAAGATAAACAACTCAGAACAACCATGTCAATACGGAAAAATAAAGAGACGACCCACCAGATCTACAAGCCCTCTCAAAAAAATGGTGACCGGACAGATTCGCCAACACCAAATAATATATAGGACATTACAAGAAGATTGGCTTGATGGCCCAAAAACAAGGACATGGAAGACGATTTGGCAAAGGAAAAAAGCTAGAATAAGACTGAAGAAGAATGGAGTTTCGACCATCTTATCAAAATTTAAAACAGAATATACTTAAATAGATAAGATGTGCATGTTGAACAAAAGAAAAGTTTTTGGTCATTAAAACTTAGCAGTATAAATACTAATAGCTAAATTTGAATTTCAATTTGTGTATAAAAGTTATGTAAAGGTGAAAAGGATGTAGATAAGCTAAAAACTTATTGATGAAAGTAATAAACAGGCCTATATGGAACATCAATAACAAAAATTATTAGTTTAAGCATGAGATAGCAGACACAAAGAGGAAGAGAGATGAAGCATTAAATACTGAAATAAAAAGAAATTATATTATTACTTTAAAAAATCAAAAACTAGCAGAAAGGAAGGATATTATATTGTATTATAAATTTGTTGATATAGAGCAGTGATGGCGAATCTTTTAGAGACCAAGTGCCCAAAAACTGGCCCCACCTCACCCCCGCTCCACTCCCTGCCCCACCCCCACCCTGCCTGCCCACAGGCCCACTCACCACCTCCAGGGCCTGCTGCAGATCGCCCAGGCAGCCCAGCAACACCATGGCGGCCATGCCCTCTGCCCGTGCTCTGCAGCATCATGTGCATGATGGGGTGTGAGGGCAGAGTCTTGTCTACGCTGCCTGGCTGTCATGTCCTTGGCTGTGCTGATCCACGTGGGCCACATTCGGGGCGACTCTCCTCCAGGGGGGCTGTTGGTGAGGAGGGGGTCACAAGGGAAGGCAAGGCTGGGACAACAGCACGTGTGCCCACAGAGAAGGCTCCGAGTACCGCCTCTGGCACCCGTGCCATAGGTTCGCCACCACTGATATAGAAGGTGAGAAGTAAAATAGATAAGATGTGTATTTTGAATATTAGATTTTGTGAGGAATGGTGATAGAGGAATTGGAGGTATATTAAAAAACTTGGGAATGATAAATATTAAATGTTAAATTTAAATGTTAGTGGAAATTAAAACTGGAAAAATTTATTAGGTCATTGATTGTCTAAAAGATTGTATGTTAAAACAACTAGAATATATATAAACTAAAACTATTGATATATGTAAGAAAGTTATTTTTTATGTGATTGATAGAACAAAACTTGTTTTAAATCTATAAATATACAGTATATATGAAGGGAAAAAGAGAGGAAATATTTATGGTAGCAATTTGAAATCTGTACTAATGATATTTGTATGTAATTGAATTACTACTACCTAGCCGCCACATTGCTTTTCAAATATGTGAATGTAATACTAGAAAATCAATAAAATTTGTAGAAAAAGAAAAAAAGAAACGTGTGCCGTGCCATGTCCTTAATTATTTGATAGAGGTACCACTGATGAGTTTATGCTAATATATCTACAATGCATAATATATCCCCCAATTTGATGCATTATACTAATTTTGCAGGCAGGAATTTAAGAGGTACATGATATATTCCTTCATGATCTCAAAGACTTAAGTGCAGAGATCCTGCTTTGTAAGTTCAATACAGAATACAAGATTGAACATTATAATAAGATCTCATATGGCACAGAATGTAATACCTTGCTCTTGTATCCCAATGTTAGGGTTTTTAAAAACACAGAAATCGGAATAATACTTTGCAGTTATCTTAAACTGAAATTTGGTTTCCTTGTTAAATATAAGCTACTTCAACACCACAGTACTGGACATAGTAATCTGAGTGGTTCCTCACTGAATTTGATAAGACACTTGTCTCTTAGTAACCCCCTATGAAACAAAGAACTTAATTTTTCTCTAGGCATAAACAGTTGGATACAGAAAGCAGAGAAATGGAAATGCTGGAATGATTTCAATCTGCTTGATAGGAATGAAATTTAGAGAAACACCTTTTTCTTTTTGCATACTTAACAAACCTGTGCTTTATTTGAGGCACATAAAATGTGTGACACTTCACATTAGAAAGCAGGTGCTATATCCCTTGAGGTGTCTGGAAGTGCAGTCCTTGTCTGAAAATGGTATTTTTGTTCTTAATGACTGAGTTCAGTTCTTTAACAACACTCCATTCTTAGGGGAAATGGTCCTTGCTATACTGTACAGGTAGTCCTCAACTTACAACAATTCATTTAGTGATTGTTTAAAGTTACAATGGCACTGAAAAGAATGACTTATGACCATTTATCACAGTTATGACCTTTGTAGCATCCCCATGAACATGTGTCCCAAGGTCATGTGATCATTTTTTGCAAAGCAGTCAATGAAGAAGTCAGTTTTACTTAACAACTGTGTTACTAACTTATCAACTGTGGTGATTCACTTAACAACTGTGGAAAGAAAGGTCGTAAAATGGAGCAAAATTCACTTAACAAATGTCTCACTTAACAACAGAAATTTTGGGCTCAATTGTGGTCATAAGTCAAGGACTACCTGTACTCTCCAGTCATGAAAATGTCATGATGGTAAAAATCTCTATTGCTTTAAATGATCTGATATTTGCAGATTGGTATTAAAATGGTTTGTTAGATTCCGAAATCAGGCAAAATCTTTTAATATTTGCTGGCATCCACATTGCAAATTGCTTTTTAAAAGTTACTTCTGAACAGATTGTTTATAATTGCACTGACATTTCCTCACAGGCAGGGAGACTTATTCACAAATCAGTACCATCAGAGCGTTTGCGTGTAAGGTATTTTAGACTAACATCTGCTGAAATTAGCACAGCTGCTTAAGAGTACATGCCATTCTCAACTATTTCAAGAGAAATGAATTCTATGTATCTGCGATGCTGCCCCATCCCTTTGATCTGAGGTTAATCAAGTTAAATCCCAATATTTCAATTTTTTTACATATGGTTTTCCCTTTAAAATGTGATGCCTTTTTCAAATTTTGAATAAGCATACATACAAGATTATTGTTTTATACCTTATTATATGCACTTACATAGCTAACAATGTTGCAGGGGCATGAAAAAATACTTTCAAATTTATTTCAAACCAAAACTCTCAATAAAGGGACGTTAAAGTACTCTATGCTTGCAGATTACTAGTGAAAATCTATGCTTGCAGATTACTAGTGAAAATCATACTGTATCTGTTAAAGAAAAGAAAGGAAATACATAGTAATGGGTCAGAGGAAGTTTATCTAACATCAGGAAGAAAATAAGTGCTTTATAAAAGACTAGAAACTTTATGGACTTTTTGCTAAAAATGAAAAAAAAGTGAAGTACAGTAATAATTTTCAGATTTTATGATGTAAATAAAGGGTTAAACATGAAAGAGAAAGGATCTGGCAATATAATGTTAAAAAGGGAGAGGGATATTTGTAGTTGCTGCAAAGAAGATAAGAAATTGCTTCTTTAATTGTCTTTTTTCCTTTTTTAGTAAATGTTTGTTTATTTTTTCTAACTTTTCTATATACAGTGTATATTTACACATTTACCTTTTCTATATAACAAAATCTTAACTTAAAAGTTTTATATACACACATATAGGTGGCACAATGGCTCAGTGGTTAAGACACTGGACTTGCCAGCTGGAAAGCCAGCAGCCCAGGTTCAAGACCTGACAGCCATGTGATGGGGTGAGCTCCCATAATTTCCCCAGCTCCCGCCAACCTAGCAGTTCAAAAGCATGCAAATGTGAGTAGATAAATAGGTATCATTTCAGTGGGAATGTAACAGAACTCCATGATGTCATGCTGGACACATGACTCCCTGTAGTTAGCAATGACTAGTGGAGTAAAATCCACAGGACTCCTTTAAACACACACACACACACACACACACACACACACACACACACATTTATATTAAATCTCTCCCTGAGATTTAATTGGATCCAGCATTGGATTAGATTTATATATCTGGGTAAAGGGACTTTAAGGAAGAGAGGGTGTATACCAATGAGCTTAAGTGAAATTTTACAGTCCAGAACTATTTGTAGTATGCACCTTGTACTTTTGTTTAAACTAGGATCTTACACCTTGTGATGACAGCTCCATGTGGCATCTCTAATGTAATCCCAATAAGAAAAAAAAGTCCTATGAAAATAAATAAGGTGTGGGAGAAATTACATAAGGTTGATAAAGACTTTTGCACTTAAAAAAAAAAGTCATAAAATGAGTCAGAGCACAGAAACGTGCACCTAGGTAACTAGATTTCTTCTCAAACCCAGCAGAGTAATCTTCCTTTTCTCTTGCTGTTTGAAGAATAGAATAAAACCCCCGGGACTGCAACTGCTGGAAAGCTTTGCCTTAGCACTTCTTTGCGGGTGGGAGAGGGAGAGATGAAGTGCAGACATGCTCAGTAGCTGATGTCTCCTCCACAGCAACAGTGTCTACAATATTAAGAGGTTGTTTGCTTCAGAAGCACGGTGAGAAAGCCATCTTTGCTAACGACTGATAGAGAGAACCTGGACTAAATCATCAAGCAACAATGTAAGTAAATCTTGATTAAATGGGGGAAGGAAGCTTCAGAACGGACGGAGGGCTCAAGAGAGCGGGTGTTGTCAAAGTGGCGCTCGGGCGCTATCCGGCACCTATGGTGCTGAAAATCTCAAAACACTCTTCTTATATATGGGCGTGTTCCTCATTCTAGCAGAGCACTGGAAATCCCCAGTGATTTGGGATTTCTCCTAAGACTTTTTGCTTGTAATGTTATACATTTCCTTCTTACAAGAGATTTTATTTATAAATATATACATAATGCCCAGAAAGTCCATGAAGGTAATGAAAAGTTACTATTTGGGTCCCTATATAGTCAGATTAACCCATCCCCCCTTCCATAAATGGATTTACAATTAATGACTAGAAAGGGTGCTGTGGAACAGATAACCTGTACATGAAAGAGAAGAAAACAATAAATGGATCTCTATCAGAAAATCCATCAATAAATGAGCGAGCCCATATTAGATTGTCCCTACTGGTACTCAAAATCTTGAACATCAGATTTGATGTCTTGCAAAATGGTTATATGGTAGCTTCATTTTCAGCACTGGATCACCTTGGCATCACATGATGTGCAAAACCATTTGTCAACTGCCTCTTGTGAATTTAAAGGAAGCAAATCAATCAATCAATCAGAAGACATTTTATTATGCAGATATCTGGCCCAATGGACTGGAAGTAATGAACCCACTCCCTGCCTCCAATTAAGAAATCCAGAATTCAGTGGTAAAATACATTCTTTCAATCCATAGCATTTTAATCCTTCCTTAATCTTTTTAATAAAGGACCGTAATTGCTCTTGGTATTGCTCTTGCTCCAGCCTTCATTAGAAGTTAGATAGACTCTTGTTCTGATTAATAGTGGAGATTTACCAGTTTATTTTATTATTTGTCCAAATAGCTAATATATTTATTTTATTCTTCAATGAAAGCTTCACCTACTGTAGCATTTTATAGTAGGATATGTTGAAATTGAGTTAATCTCAACATTCTTTTGATCTGAGGATTTAAAGAGATAACTCCAGGCTTCTGATTTCTCTTCAGGGAGTAGCAAAATTACAGACGAATTCAAACTTTTGTATTTATTTTGCCTATTCCTTTTGTATAGATTCATGGGAGTCTGTGAAAAAAAATCAAGGGAAGAATAAGCCACAAATTAATATTCTGGGAATTTATGTTTTGGAATTCTGAACCCTGTTATAAGTTGTAATATTATGTTTCTAATATTTTCCTAAATAAAATGAAAGTGACCAAATGTGAATCAAAAAGTTTCCTAATACTTAGGCTGCTCCAAGCTCTTGAGTTGGTTTAGATTTTAATTAGTTATGGATGGATGGATAGATAGATAGATAGATAGATAGATAGATAGATAGATAGACAGACAGACAGACAGACAGACAGACAGATATTTTGAAAGGAGATATATTATTGAACAAAATGGTTATTTTAGTAATTGAAATGTTTAAAAGGATAAAATAGACATATTTATGTGATATTTCACATAAATTGTATGTGATATTTCTATTTATATCCCATTTTATTATGTCAAGAATAGTCAAAACTGCCAACAAAAGGGAGAAAACACCAATATATAATAATTTACAGTTTAAAAATATTAGTTAATCACAACAAAAGCAATCAATACAATTTAAAAGTCATGGCTGAAGATGTTATTGAGGCTTCTCATAAAGATGCAGATAATATGGACAACTGAGAATAATAATGAAAATGTCTTACACACTTGTCTCACAATTTGGCCTATGAAACTGCAGGCATCATTATGAGAACTTTTCCTGCTAAACTTATAGCCTGGACAGTTTCATACAAATTAGGTGGTCTCTCAGGTAGACAGGTCTTTAGATTAACCCAAATCTTTTATTGTGTTTGGAAAATAACTGGCAAATCAATTACTTGGCAGGGAATTGATAGCCAATACAAGGAAAGTTCACATGTGAGCCTATATTTCACAATGTTAATTGCTTTTGTGCATATGTTTGCCCAAGCTAGTTTCCAGCATTCAGAAGCTAAAAGTAGCAGCAGATAGTAAATATTTATATTTAAATCTCAAGAGCCAATTATTCTAGCCCTATTACATCTATGTCAGGAAAAAAAAGTTACGTTCAATTATTGTTTCACTTTAATGCAAAGCTTACAAAGTGGTACTGTGTAATTTCTTTCTTTGTAAAACAGTATGCATTGAGTTGCTCAGCATGTTTTATACAACGTCTTTAGTATCTTCACAATATGTGCTATGTATGTTCATTATTATGGTTCTCAGGTAGCCAAGACAAGCAATTAATTCCATGTGACTGAAAGACTCGTTCCATTGATCCAAGAAGCCAAATGCAAATAACAGCATATTTCTTCCCTTACAGTAGCTTTCTGAACAACTAGAGGCTTGGAAGTCTATTTATATTTGTTTCATCTTTGAATCTCTGAGCAAAGTGTTTTAACTGTACATCTGTCTTTTCCAGATTCTGCTGGGTTTAATGTAATCCCCTGTACCTTTCCAGCAATTATGAACTTGTTCTGCAGTTCTTGCTATTGATGTTGTTGCCTAGCTCTGTGTATGTAAGACAGGATGACGTCAAATACTTTTGTTTGTGTGAATGTTCTGTAGTGATTAAGGCACCCATTTCCTGCTGTAGAATTACATAAACTCTACTAACATTTCAGCTAGATTTAACTTGTTTTGTCTGTATTCCAGTATGACCATATTAAATCAATAGAAAAAAATATGCTATTGATCCTCTGTAGCTTCAACTGTCTATACCCAATGCCAGGATTATGACAGTCTATATTGCTAATGGAACCCTTCCTAAGTAAAAATCCTGACGATTTCTTGCATTCATTGTTGTTAGTACTACCAATACTACTAAAATAGTACTCCTTTAATTTGTTGTACAGCAGTGGTTCTCAACCTGTGGGTCGGTACCCCATTTGGGGTCGAACGACCATTTCACGGGGGTCACCAAACAACGCAGTCCGCCATTTTTTCCCCCTTTTCCTTAGCCGTGCTACTCCCTTTTATTCTATTGGCTTTTGAAAGCCAATAGAATAGACTCTCTTGAATAGAGTCTAATTCTATTGGCTTTCAAAAGCCAATAGGAATTGTCCAGGCTGTCTCTGCTCTGCTGAGCCTGCCAAAAGTCCCATTCTGCAAACGATGCTGCACCAGTTGAGTAGTCCTCGACTTACGACTGGTTGAGTAGTCCTCGACTTACGACCGGTTGGGGGTCGCGGCATTAAAAAGGTTAAGAACCACTGTTCTACAGTATTTTAAATCAGTGGTTCTCAGCCTGTAATCCAGCACTCCCAATTCTATGACTGATTATGTGCCATCAAGTCATTGTTAGTGACCACATAGATTTTCTCTTTGACAATCTCCCTAACCTGGTCTTTCAGATCTACCAATAGTGCACTCATTGCCTTGTTGCTGGTCATCCTTTTCTTGTTTCTCCTTCTACCTTTCCCACTATTGGATCCTTCTCTAGAACAGGGGTCCCCAACCCCCAGTCCGTGGACCAGTACTGGAACTAGGCATAACAGCAACCGGTCCGCACAAACAAGTGAAACTCCATCCACAAGATGTAGGCAGCACACAAAACCACACACCCTCCATTCTGTGGAAAAACCTCTCTCCATGAACCGGTCCCTGGTGCCCAAAAGGTTGGGGACCTCTGCTCTAGAAAGCTAAGTATTCACATAGTGTCCGAGGTAGAAAAAAATGAGCCTGTTCTGTTCATTCTGAATTCTGTTCTTTCTGAACCATTAGTTTCCAATTGCTTACTCCGTGTATAGGCAGTTCTCATTTAGTGACATTTGGAACCAGCACCTTAGTCATTAAATGAAGCAGTTGCTAAGTGAAATTGTGACTGTGTTTTTTTATCTTACTTTCCTTTTCTTTACAGAAGGTCATAAATGTGGATATTGGTCAAAAGTTTCTTTACCATCATCGTCATCACTGCAAAGCAATTCACTAAACAAAGACTACTTGTATTTCTTATACTAAGCACTATTTTATTAATATACTAGATCTTTAATGTGAATAAAAATGGGACATAACAGCATTTCTATTTATTAGAATTATTTATTCTATTATTCTAGCTACATAAACCTTTCTGTGATATTCTATTCCCTTACTTAGCTCAGCTGATGTCTGTCTGTCGATGTATCTATCTATTCCTCTACCCCAATAATCAATCCCCAAAACAACTTATATTCCATACCCATTTATCATGCTTAGTCTTCAATGGGCTGGATGTGCTAAATAGCAAATTCTTCAGTATCAAAAACCTGGTTTATTATAAACCATATTTTTTAAAGTCAAAGAAAGAAGTAAACAGAACCTTTACAACTTTTGTAAGTCAAAATCATCTGGAAATGTTAGCATCAAAGAACTGTATAGGAAATGTCTCTGTGTAAATGACTAAGATAGGTAAGCTAGAGCACAGTTCACTGTGCCACATCACTTCTGTCTCACTCGGTGGCATCATGGGTTATAATCATGCACAAACTGTGTGTTATGAGTGCTTTCAAGGCAATGAATCACGAATTGAATGCAAACTTTCATTACTGGTATTCTACTTTTCTGTTATGTGAAGGACTCATGTTGTTTTACACTATTACTCTTGGATAACAACGACATCTGATTTGGTGACATGGGTTGCATAGGTTTTCAACTTCTGCAATCAGGCAATTAGCCTGATCATAGCAGCATCAAAGCCATTCCCTATAGCAGCAGTTCTCAACCTATGGGTCACGACTCCATTTGGGGTCGATCGACCATTTCACGGGGGTTGCCAAGCAAGGCTGTCTGCCATTTTTTCCCCTTTTCCGGCGGGTGCCTTACCTCCCTTGGTCTGGGCCAGCTGGTGGCCCAGCCGGTGGTCAGCCTGCTCCATCTCTGCCACTTGCCAGCTATGCCTCAGCCGGCACAGGGGGCGACACCACGCATGCGCAGTGCTCCCGGGCAGGGAAAGTCCTCGACTTACGACCGGTTGGGTAGTCCTCGATTTACAACCGGTTTAGTCCTTGACTTACGATCTGTTGGGGTTGCGGCATTAAAAAGGTTGAGAACCACTGCCCTATAGTTTCTTCACAGAAAAGAATCCTTTTAATGATTTAATTCAGGGGGTCTTCAAACGTGGCCCTTTTATGACTTGTGGACTTCAGCTCCCATGAATTCCTCAGCCAGCATGCCTGATTGAGGAATTCTGGGAGTTGAAGTCCACAAGTCATAAAAGGGCCACGTTTGAAGAACCCTGATTTAATCCATGTGTAGTAAGTAATGAATTATTCATCACATGGATTGTTTATGTTTATCAACTAATTTGCAAGAGACGATAAGCCTAGACTGCTGGAGGTTTACTTTATTTTTTACATAGACATTGAACAAGACTCATTAGTAAGTTTCTTGTCTCCAGATGTTTCAGAGTTGTACTTCCAATCAACATCAGTCTGCATGGTCAATAATAAGAAATGCTGGGAGCAGGGATGTCTGCATGGTATAATCAAAAAAGTCAAATGTCTTTGCCTATTTTTTATGTGCATTGCATGTGTGATGCATGTAAATGTGCAGTGCTTTGATTGGACCTTCATGGCTACCAATCTTGATGTTTTTGTCCATATTCTGCAGACATCTCTGGATGAAAGCAAACATATGAAGGGCCATAAGAATATGTCTTTCATTTCATACAGTTATACATTCTTTTATTTTTTTTTAAAAAATGCCAATACCAGCCACTCCCTTGCCTTATCATTCCCAGTGGTGTACATTTAAGAACTATAATGCAAACATGAGAAAAATGATACATTTATCTGATAAACTGAAAATTGGAGGAAAACAATACATGAAAAATTGAAGGAAGCAGTACATTAATTTAAACAATATCAATTGGCTGGAATATAAATGTATCCTTTGACTTGGAAAAAAAGATGCTCAAATGGAATCTAATGTAATGGAATGTAGATTTGCAAGCATCCTTCCTCAGCATTGTCTATTTAAATTATGTATATAATGAATTTTATGAAGTACAATTATTAAAATAATTTGGTTTGAGTTGTATTTTCCTTTTTTTCTTAAGATATTGGCCATCCAAGGGTTAATTATGTGAATGGTTTTTTTTTTAAAGAAGAGCTAGTGGCTTATCATACGTTTACACTTTTTCCATACCATGCAAAATGTGTGGCTGACAAGTCTTTGGTGTAAATATATTCACTGCTTATATCCACACTTTTGGTTTACAGGACTGTATTTTTAAGGATAGTGTTACAGACTTTATACAAATTTTGCAGGCAACTTTATACTTTTTCACTGAACAATTCAAACTTGATCATTATGAAGTTTTTAACAGGGGAAGTGATTTTGTCATAAATTCCAAAATGTTCAGAACCAATGTAACATTCTTTGTCTTTGTTCACACATTACACTAAGTTATCATTTGCTTAACCATGGTTAGTGATTAAATCTTAATACTCTGGATTCACACAACATATTAAACCATGGACTATGTGATCCATATATTTTACTGGAATATATGTGAACCCCATGTTTTGCTATATGTCCCACTCCCACACGCCACCAATTATCTTTAAATTGTATTGGTGTTGTTTTGATTACGAATAAAATCTGGTTAGACTATATTATATTTAGTTCTGATGCACAACATATTCAATAAACATATATTTTGTTATTTCCTTGATGCATCCATATCATTTAGTCATTGCCAATGTTAATTAAAACTTTTGAGTAAATGATCATAAGAAATATATATTGCATGCTTAGGATTCCAGATTCAATTCTCAAGATCACTAGGCAGAATTGAAAAGACTTCCTGCCTGAAACCTTAGAAATTTGCTGCCTATTAATGTTGACAATATAAACTAGATTAGTAATCATTTCATTCATCTGAAGCAGCTTTCTATGCTTTTCTATGTTCATTTTCTTTCCTGCTTAATCCTTCTCTGTCTGCCACACCCCACAGTCCATAGTTTACTTAGTGTTGCTTAGCATTTAACAAGCCTGAAAGCTTGATTCCAAGTAGCATTTCTCAGGTTGGCATTAGATTTTAGGATTCATCATTTTTCTAAGCCTACCTTTAATTCTAAGTATACTGCTAAATTAAAACCATAAATATATCATCAAATGTAAGACAGGTAGTCCTCGACTTACAACAGTTCATTTAATGACCATTCAAAGTTACAACAGTACTGAAAAAGGTGACTTATGACCGTTTTTCATAGTTATGACCTTTGCAGCATCATGATCATGTGATCAAAATTCATACTTATTGCCATTGCAATGTGAAAGAGAGAGAGAGAGAGAGAGAGAGAGAGAGAGAGAGAGAGAGAGAGAGAGAGAGAGAGAGAGAGAGAGAGAGAGAGAGAGAGAGAGGGGGGGGGGGATTTATTACATTTACCATGTTTTGATAGTGAAAAGGACCATGGAGGGCAATGGAAAAAAAACAGTTGGTGAAACTCATTTGTGTCCTATTGACTATTTTGGCCATCTTCTTGTATATATTATAGAAAAGAGGCTGAGAGAGATGGCTGTGGGGAGATATAATGGGAGATAGGGGACATCTATCTGAATGGAAGATGTGACACATTATTGACCCCAAAGTAGTGACAGGGATGTGACTATGGTTATCTGAGAAACTCTGATGGCTTCCAGGGACATAATTGAACATGAAACCCTTGGAGATAAAAAGTACTGTGGGCTTGCTACCCAATTCTAGCCTCCTGGTTGCTTCCTCTCTATACACTTTTTTTCTATAGCTTTGCAGAGGGACAATTCTCATGATGGATTTGTAAGCAAGGCAGGAGAGGAAAATGGACATAAGCTTAAGAGTAGAGTGTGACATTACTGAACAAGATGGGTTTCAGAACTGGAAACCCTTAAAGGAGCTAGAACAAAAAATAAAGACATCTCCGTTAAAGGTATAATATTGGCTGATTTCTACTTTCTGATTTCTACGGTCATCTCCAGTTCCTTTCCAAGGTGTCAGTTCTGCTTCTAGTCCAGGAGTTTCCCCTCAGAGCAACATGACCAGCAATCGGAGACTGCAGCAGACCCAGGCTCAAGTGAATGAGGTGAGCTTCACCCAAGACATCTTTGTAGATTTTATTATGATGATTTTTAAATTTGGAACATAGGAGGGATAAAACATGGAAGTGAATCAGGTCACAGTTTATAGAAACATAGAAACATGGTTAAGTTTATGGTTTTATGGTCATGTAATAATTGTTAAACATATGCATTCTGGCACTGTGGAACTTAAAGGTAACTGCAGCAAAATACTCAACATGTATGTAAAGGTAATCTAGAAATAAGAACACCAGTCAAGTAGTACTAATTCATTAATGATTAGGACAGTGATGGCGAACCTTTTAGAGACTGAGTACCCAAACTGCAATTCAAAACCCACTTATGTATCGTTGGGTGCCGGATGGGCGTGGCCCATTGGGTGGGTGTGGCCCATTGGGTGGGCATGGCTTCGGTGTTAACTAAAAAATTCAATCAATCAATTCCAACTTTGCAAGTTCTTTTTTTTTTCCTGCGAGAAGTTGAAATTGATTCATTGATTGAACTTTTTTTTTTTTAACACGGCGGCAGAGGCCTGAAGCGAAAAGATTTTATAAAACACAGCTGAAGTCCTAGGACTGGGGGGATGTCAGGTGTGCCCGCAGAGAAGGCTCTGCGTGCCGCCTGTGGCACGCGTGCCATAGGTTCGCCACCATGAATCTAGGAGTTCAGCTTGATAAGTACTATTTGTGCAATTAAAAGAAGAGAGAATTTAAGACTCAAGGTACAGATACATCTATTGTTTTCCTTAGACGAAAATTCTCTATTGTACAAGAAAATGCTCTAAACAGCTGACTCACTATCAAGAAGTGGGAACACAGAAATATCCTGCCACTGTTTATCACATGCTCCATGATCAATCAGAAATATGAAGAATCTTTTTCTGCAATGGTCTTTTCTGAAAAATACTTAAGTGATTTTGGAGAATACAGTGTCCTTGAAACAAATATCTTAAGAAGGTATTTGGAGATTAGTACAGATTAGTACAGAAAATTGTATATTACTTGGATGAATCACTGGCTAGTTTAGTGCATCATGTGAAACAATTTTTCCCTCAGTTCTGATGTAACACGTAAATAATTCAAGCCATTGCAGCTAAGAAATCATGGTTTATTATTTACTGTATTGTCAGCTCAATTAAACTGCAATAGTTCATTAATCATAGTTAATTATCATGGTTTATCACAATGCATGAATCCAGAAATAAATAGTGACATACTGTAGTACTTCAATACAATCCTACTGAACCAATTCTTTAGATGGCACTAAATGCTCACACCACAGAATCTAGTGCTGCATTTATTCAAACGTTGCATTAATTGTCTGTAAGAACTTTTGGCAAAAACAGTCATAAGGCATTGTTAGCACATTAAGAAATGTTATAGTGAATGTAGTCAAAGATGATTTGCTGTGTGACTTGAAAATTGTGTTGCCTATAAGAATCTTCAATTGTCCAGAATTTAGGACACCCATGCAACATCATTTACAAAACTGGTTTTGCAAAGCTGTGTTATATAGTAAAGGACACTGGAAAAGCAATGCCAAACAGACATAGGAAGTGGCTATGGATAGATTTTAAAAATGAAAAAAATGGATCCACTTAATCTGTTTAGGGGCAAATATTTTTAGATCCCTACAAATATTCAATGTAACCCTTATAGTAACATCAGCTCAGATCAAGTAGCCTGTTGTTTTTCACAAGGCAATGTTTCCATGAATTCTTATCAGCAACATTTGTTATTGTGTCATTTCAAAACAATAATATTACCTCATCTTCCTTCCATGAAATGAGAATAGTGTTTTGCTATGGAGATTTGAAAATCCAATTGGCTATTCATTTCAATAGAGGGAAATTCATTTTGGGAAGATGCCATTTTTTAAAAGTTTAATAACTGAGCACATTTTACTCTCATTTAGAAAATAGTTTCTTGGTTTAAACTTGATCTTCCCATCTTCTCAAGAATTAAATAGAAACTCAGATTATTTCACTTATTGATCAAAATGTGAAAATGCCCTCATTACTTTATAAGACCCAATTTCCATGTATTTCCCCATCTTAGTACAAAAAGTAATTATTTGACCTTAATCTTTTCTTTTTCCATTCAGAAAATGTTCTTAATTTAATATAAAAAGTGTCCTAAAATAATGTGATCATTTCCTCTGTTCAGTAGTCCTCCCCTGCTCATAGTAAATTAACAGAAGGACAACGGGAAGGTGCCTTCCTACCCTGTCTCTGAAGTTCCTGCTCCTTTAGCTCCTGTTTCCCGAAATCTCTCTTATCACATACAATTAATTCTTAGCCTTTTGGACCCTGCACAAATTAGGCAATGCCAACAAACATATTCTCACTTCTTGCTGCATACATTTAATGTCTGCATCTAGAACTGTGTTTCTCAACCTTTTTAATGCCGCGACCCCCAACCGGTTGTAAGTCGAGGACTACTCAACCGGTTGTAAGTCGAGGACTACTCAACTGGTGCAGCACCGTTTGCAGAATGGGACTTTTGGCGGGCTCAGCAGGGCAGAGACAGCCTGGACAATTCCTATTGGCTTTTGAAAGTCAATAGAATTAGACTCTATTCAAGAGAGTCTATTCTATTGGCTTTCAAAAGCCAATAGAATAAAAGGGAGTAGCACAGCTAAGAAAAAGGGGGAAAAAATGGCGGACTGCGTTGTTTGGCGACTCCCGTGAAATGGTTGTTCGACCCCAAATGGGGTCCCGACCCACAGGTTGAGAACTACTGATCTAGAAAATATGTTATAAAAGACATCAGCATTATTATTATTAATAATAATAATAATAATAATAATAATAATAATAAAGTTAGAAGGGATCTTGGAGGTCATCTAGTCCAATCCCTTGCTCAGTCAGGAAACCTGATACCATTTCAGACAAATGGCTGTCTAGTCTCTTCTTAAAAACTTCCAGTGTTGGAGAATTCACGGCTTCTGGAGACAGATTGTTCCACTGATTAATTGTTCTGTCAACCTTAGTCCTAGGTTGCTTCTCTCTTTGGTTAGTGTCCCTCTGTTGCTTCTTGTCCTGCCGCTTTGGAGGATAGCTTGACTCCCTCTTTCTTGTGGCAACCCCTGAGATATTGGAACACTGCTATCATGTCCCCCCTCGTCCTTCTCTTCATTAAACTAGACATACCCAATTCTAGCAACCGTTCCTTATATATTTTAGCTTCCAGTCCCCTAGTCATCTTTGTTGCTCTTCTCTGTACTCTTTCTAGAGTCTCAATATCTTTTTTACATCGTGGTGACCAAAACTGGATGCAGTATTCCAAGTGTGGCCTTACCAAGGCATTGTAAAGTGGTATTAACACTTCACGTGATCTTGATTCTATCCCTGTTAATGCAGCCTAGCACTGTGTTGGCCTTTTTGGCAGTTGCAGCACACTACTGACTCATATTTAAGTGACTGTCCACTTTGTTCAGTATAAACTTATGACAACCTTTGAAATTTAAATAAAACTGTCTTGTATACTTTTTTCAATAAGCAGGTTGTGCTTTGTTTTAGAATTATCCTGCCTTCCTTCAACAGATGTTGAAAAAGTGATTCTACTTCATTATTTTGTAAGTAGGTTTCCTAAACACTGTACCATTTTCAGGTGGTAGACATCATGCGGGTCAACGTAGACAAAGTACTAAAAAGAGATCAGAAGCTTTCAGAACTTGATAACCGAGCAGATGCTTTGCAAGCAGAGGCCTCACAATTTGAAACCAGTGCAGCTAAGCTGAAGAGGAAATACTGGTGGAAAAACTGTAAGGTATACTTGTCTACTCTATGATACAATGTAATCTTAGTCCAAGGGAAATAAGGGCAAACATCAGCCTTAATTCAGTTAAAATGAAAACGTATATACCCCTAATCAGGAATTTTGGAATTTGGTAATAATGTATGAGTTGAGATTATAATATTGTATAGATAAAAAACAGTTTATTCAAAATATTGTAATTAAACCTTCCATGTAAAATAGATTGTTTATTTCTTACAAAATAAATGATGGCAGATGTAGGAAAAGTTAGCAAACAAACTCTGTATTTTTACCTCCTTTCCTTGTTTAGCAAAATTTAATTCACATATCTGCATGTAATATGCCTCCTATTGATTAGATGGATATTGTAAACATTTTCAGTTACTGGGTCTTTTTTCATTATGTTTTTCTCTCTTCAGTAATGAAAAATACATCAGGCTATGTTTAATCTCTAAACAGACTACTATAGACAGTTTGGGCTTACCTAACATAATATTATACTCAGAACAAACATTATGTTTCTTTTTCTTTCATACAAGGACTTGCTTCCAGGTTTCTTTGTACAAAAACAATTTTCTAACATTATTGTTTTTCCTCTATACACATTCTTTCTACTATAAAACCTACCTGAGAGCAACAGCATCTAGGACTGAGGGCTGCAGTGCTTTGATTCCAGTAAACAGGGCAAAGTGGTGCCATGGTACAGAAAATAAGGTGTTCCACTTCCCATTGAATTGAAGTGCAACCTCATTTTCTTTTTCAGAGCTATACAAAGGAACTTTTAAGAGCTTAGCACTCCTTTGTATCGTACAGCTATAGCTGCGGCAGATTTGGCTTCTATTATCCAACCATCCTATCACATTCATTGAAGTTTGAGGGGCATCATTTTTTTCATTGTTAATCCAGACTTGTTTTCCTACCGTTTTTCTTTTACTGCTATGCCAACAATGGGTTCTGTTTTTTTCCACTGTCCTCTGCCTTCCATGAATTTTTGAATTATCTTTAAATCTTTCCAAAGTAATTCAGAAACACTTTAATACAATTTGATACCTTGAATTCATATAAAGTTCAGCTTGAAAATTCACCCCAAGGGGCTGATTCAATCAATCTTTTTTTAATAGATTAAATCGCCCCTTCTAAACATTGTCATATAAGCAGGACACAGCAGTAGTCTTTCCATTCAAATAAAAGTAAAGTTACCTTTTAATAGCAAGTTTGAGGTTAATTATTTTGTTTTCTTTTCTAGATGATGATTATCCTGGGTGTAATTTGTGCAATCATTCTTATCATAATTATAAGTGAGTAACAGAAATCTTCATCTTGACAGACTTCATTTCATTTTATAATGATCAGTCAACACTTCTGTATAAATGACTGATCAGAGCATTTACAAATTTTCTTGGCATTGTCTCCTTCCCCACTTCTATAAAGAGAATTACAAAACATTGTATCACACAGTTATAAAACAACTTGATTTTAAAAGGACACATGCTGTAAGTGCTTATTTTGCTGAACAGAAAGTGTCTCTGTAGATGGCAGACTTGTTTGGACTGCGATTAAAAGAGAAGTAGGGGCTGATAAAAGCCAGATAAGATTCATCCAAGAAATACAAGGGCTCTAGACAGTTTTTTAAAAATCCCAGAAGATGACAATGGTAAACCACTTCTAAAGAAAACCTTTTTTAAAGGGGAAATCATTTTTATGACTAGCAAGGTGGAAAACATTTGCATAAGGTAGTCTAATCTTGGTTTCCTTAAAGTCACCAACAAAGTCCTTCTGAACCCAGTCAAAGCATGATCAGATATTACATCAGCCGAATGCTGTAAAATAGAGACCAGTCATTATGATTATAGCATGAGCACTATACTGGATGGCTAAAGGATGTTAAGATTTCATTATCAGAAGAGATATCACTGGCTAGCAAGGATCTGCTTCATATAATATATTAAATGTGTCTGTTGACATCTCTTGTATGAAAATAGGTTGGCAAATACTACTGCATGGTCTTGTACCTTAACTCACAAATAGTCCTTGACTTACAACAATTTGTTTAGTGACCATTCAAAGTTACAATGGCAGTGAAAAATGTGACTTTTGACCGTTTTTCACACTTGCAGCGTCCCCATGGTCACATGGTCAAACGTCAGATCCTTGGCAATTGATTCATAGTTGTGACGGTTGATGTCCCAGGATCATATGATCATATTTGCCACCTTCTGACAAGCAATGTCTATAGGGAAGCCAGATTCACTTAACAACCATGTTACCAACTTAACAGCTGCAATGATTCACTTAACAGCAGTGGCAAGAAAGGTTGTAAAATGGGGCAAAACTCACTGAACAACTGTCTTTTAGCAAGAAAAATTTGGACTCAATTGTGGTCATAAGTTGAGAACTACTTGTACTGATCTGCCATGCTGAGAACTCTTTACACTCATTTTAGTTAGAAGCAAATGGCAAATGTCTTGTATCAATGTGACCTTTTTCCTTATGGTCAGCATTTCAGCAGAGTGGATTAATTAACCTGATTTCCTCTGAACTTTTTTTTTAATTACTGATTTATTTTTTCTTTTACATTGTGAAAGTCAAATCATTTAATGTGAAGACATGGTAGCTTTGGAACAAGTTACCTCCATTTCTTACTTGACTGAATATTGGTAATACAGAATCAGTGGAGAGACTAAACTAATTTCTTGATTTAAAAAGAACCTAAATTATTAGTTCGCTCCAATTCAAAGCACATCATTCAGTGCATCATGTCCAAACAAATCTCAGAAAGAAAGAAAAAGCTTACATTGGTTTTCTGAAGTTTACTCATTTGTTCAGTTTTTAAAGTAGTGGCTGGGATTTAATTCTCCAGGATTTATTGTAGAAATAGAATTTGCTAAGTATATTATCTCTATAGATGAAAATCAAGCACCATATTGGGGGCATGAATCATGAAGCAGAGGCGAGTCATGGCTGCCAATTTTAGTAAATTTCTTGGGATTTATTGAATGAGGTAGTTATCCAATTTAAGAGATTTGTTTTAAAGCTGGAGAATGGAAATGACTTTTATTTTTCTGTTATCCATTGTTACTAAAAGACATGTTATTGTGCATGTGTCTGCTTATCCGACAAATCTCATTTCTCCAGTTGGCAGACATATGGAAGATTAACAATATTTTCATTCTTTTTTCTTCCAGTTTATTTCTGCACCTGAATACTAAGATCAAATGGCTTGGTGTGGCTACACTCATCTTTTCGATAATTCCACAAATGAAATTGAAATTTAATTTTTACATCTTGGGGCTGGTTGCTTGCAACTATGTGTAAGGACTGTTTGTTTAGGGTTCACTTTTCAGGGTTTTTGTTTTGTTTTGTTTTGTTTGGGAGAAGGTGCTGTTCTTAGAAAAAAAAAGTGTGCCAGTTAAAATACTGCCAACCAATTTCACACATCTTACTATGTCTTAAATTATGAGAATGCTGATCTTTAAAAGTACTCATTCAAAAAAAATCACCAGTATAAAAATAAAAGGGATGTTGCAAATAGGCTTTAACTGAAAGGATATTAAGTAATGGCAAGTTGTTTTCAAAATTAAATATCTTTTATACCATAAAAACCTGATTCATAAGAGCTGATCTTTATAACAGCAGTTTAAAATAGATTCATAGCAATATCTGGGGCTATAATAAGAAAAAGCTTGTATCCTCCCCATTCCTCAAGTTAAAGACAAATAATAATAATTTTAAAACTCATAACAGATTTTTAAGGCAAGGGTTCACAAAATCTGGCAATATTCCGAGATATGAGTGGCTTAGGAAATAAACTTACACTGTGAAATCCATGGCAGACATCATTGTTAACTTTTGAAGCAGCTTGAGAGTTCATGACTAAGTTCCTAAGGTCACTCAATAATATTTATATGCAAGCAAAGACTTGATTTACCCTTTTCCACATCTTCCATTAGACCTGTGGTCAGCATGTGGTATTCTTGAGTAGCTGCTGAAGCTCCAGTGTCTAGTGAGAACTCACCACTGACACCTGACTTGCTTCTATATTGTTTTCTGGCATTCAGTGTTAGATACGTAGGTTAGCAACCCATCATTTACTTTTTACAAAATAGCCTCCAAGATCTTGCTGAACTACAGCTCCCAGCATCCCTCATTACTGTCCATCCAGTTGCTAGGAATTGCATTTTTATAATCCCCTGGACCACAGATCTTTACTATTGACTCTAGAATCGTACCAGACAATTAGGATCAAATCCAGCAATATAAGATCCAACAGAATACTTTGCCAAGACTCTCCCTCTGTCAGAGCCATTTGGAGCCATTTGTAGGTACACACATAGTCTATATTCATTTTATTAAAATGATCAATGGATCAATGTTTATACACATGATGATATTTAAAGGCATATCTAATTATAAAAATAGAGTAAGATATTGTAATTAATTCAGGCTGATGAGAAGCTGTTTTCAATTATGCTTTATGTTTTGATATTGTTTATTATAGAAAACTTCAGATACTTGCAATCTTAATTACACAGAAATACACTGTACTCACTGTTGCTCCTGTTTTGGTCTGAGATTAACGGCACAAAGAACATATGTACCGATGAAGAAACATTTCTTTAAAAATGTCTTTACAAGGTATAATTGTGATACAGAACTTCTATTCTAGCTCTTTTTTTTTTTCAAGCCAATGTGTCTTTAATGGTTGGTTATACAACTGTAATTAGCCAGCTGTTAAACTAAAATATCTAGATTTACAATGCAATATAGCTAGGTTCAGGACGTGGGACAAGAAAAGTTGGTATTTGACGCAAAAATCCTTTAATACTCTTATTTCCTCCCTTACTCTAGAAAATCATTTTGCCCTAGCTGTGCTTTGTAAGACATAGTAAAATCTGTATTTTTTGAAGTGTTGCTGAACTGCCACTCTCAGCATCTCATATCACTGCTCATACTGGTAGTTATGTACATCTGGAAGGTATAAATTCCAACTGCTCTATAGTCTGACAACACCAGAGTTGGAAAAAGCAGTGCCGGGTGAAATGGGCTGCACGGCTCAGGACTGCGTGGCTTCCAGGTTGGCCTTGTGGATGAAGTATTACACAATCTTGCATTCGACAGAATGGCATAGCTTCAAATTAAATCCTAAACTTCTGCTTAAACCAAAGTATCTAAAACTATGGGGACAGTGGTATTATCATCTTCATGCAGATTCTTGTAAAAGCTGTATTTTGTCATTTTTGCAAATTGTATGAGGCCTAAGCACTTTCCTAGCTAGTTTCGTCTCAAGATCTGTTGCATTCCTGAATTTGTGAAACTTTATTTCAGAACTTCATTCATTGTGGAGCCAATTACATTTTTTCATTAAAATGTCTTAGCACAATAGTGCATTTGCACGTGTCATATTCACTGCTTTGTTATTCTGAATCTGTAAACAACTGCACCCAAATAATAACTTTACATTCACATTTGCAGAAAGATGCTATATTTAGCTCTGTATTGTATAGATGTTGCGTTGTCTTTCTTTCATTTAGGAATTCATTGAAACATGCAATTCAACCTGGAATTTTAACTTTTGCATGAATCTATATTTTAGACCCTTTTTAAGGCTTCAAGTGTAGGTCTGTAAGAGGGCTCTACTTCAGGACAAATCTCTCAGAAGGATTCTTCAAATGGTGAGGAAATTCAGACACTGAGCCCATACCCCACCTCACCTTATGCTGTGCCTGTCTAGAAGAGATGGGTGAAACTTTAAACGATACCTTCTTTCCACTACTGGTGCAAGAGGATCTCACTCTTTGATATTATCTGGTGGTACTCCAGACTTTTATAACCCAACTTCATGCAATCAAGTTTATTGAAGATGTGGAACAAGGAGTGGGTAGCAATGAAGGAACTAACAGAATCATATAAACTGAAATGTAGCTGTGTCAGTTACATTTTTTTCCTTAATTTCTTTTCAAAGTAGGATTTCATAAGCTCCTGTCTCTAATTCTTAAAAATAATTTACAGCAATTACCACTGTATAAAAGCATATTAATACAATGGGTTGGATCCAGACTTAGTTAAAATAAACCCTTTATAAACAAAAAGCTTATTAGGCATGACAAGTTCTATTGATTTTAGCGGATCTACTCTAAGATTCAATTAATGTACAGAAATATACATGGTGTGGTGAGTGGCAAACTAATTTAATAATAATAATAGTAATAATAATAATATAATAAAAATAATATAAAAATAAAAGCTGAAAATATCTGAAAGCTCTGCTCACACTATTTGATGTAGAGCGATCTACTTAGGACAATATCAGAACTTGATAGTGGCTGTTCTTTTTTACATTTGATTTTTTCCCCAGCATATTTTTCTCCTGCCATTCATTACAAAACCTCCAAATTATCAAGCATTTATTTCTTTTTCTTTGTTAAAAAAAAAAGGTCCACAACTTTAAACATAAAAGATACTGAAATCTCTCTCTGCAGTTGCAGTTTCCTACTGATACGACATTTAAAAAGCTCCATCTGTGAATGAAAAAGCAAAACCATGGCAGTCCAATTACATGTGGCTTTGTGAGTGTTAAACCTAGTTATGAGGCGGTGAATCACCAAAGCAGTAACCTCATTCTGTCATGGATTTAAAAATTTAGTTTAGAAGGAAAAAATTACTATGCCTTAATTGAAAGAAGTCCCATCATTAACAACCACATTTAGGTAACTGGTGGCTCAACAATGGAGGAGAAACACAAACGATTATAAGCTTCTAAGTCCTCTAGGTAGAACTCTTCCATCAGCTAAAATGTTAATAGACACAGGATAGAGAAGCAAGGAAGGAAGCCTTAGAATTAGGCCAGTTGTGGCTGAAATATCTGCCCTTTTTAAAATCTATTTTCTTGCTTCCTTCCCATCCTGGTTTTTATTAACATCTTCCTGTTGAAGAGTTTTGGAAAACAAGCTTTTGGTCCATGTTTTACTTTGCACAGGTATTTTATTTGATTTAAAAGTTAAATACAGATATCCAAGAAAAGAATTGAATGCATCCTTTCCTACTTGCATTATCCTAAGCTATAAAGAATATGGACATATTAAATTACTATTTAATGATCACAGTACTAAAGATTCCTATAATAGGATTTTTGATGTTTTATATGCTTTCATACTTGGAAGAAGAACCACCTTCCTTTGACCTCTGGTGTTCATGCAGAATATTATAGCAAAGCTAAATATGAGAATATTCATCTTCACGCCAAAGCATGGCAATTAACATAAGTAGAAAACGTAACATATAAAGAAACAAACTATGTCTTCTCTGTCCTTTGTTTTTGTTTTTTTTTGTATTTGCCTCACAAAGTTTTCTACAAAATTCAAAATGCTTCCATATCTTTGTATGCTTCTCAGATGGTTTCTAATAATTAACTGAACTATGGTTTTGAATTTCTGTAAAACATTTGAGCTGTTTTTCTTTAAAGTCCATCTATGAAAGAGAAAATTTACAATCAATTTTCACTGACATTAATTTAAGATTAGTAATAAAGCAGAGCATGGAGAATCATATAAATCTCTGGAAGATCACTTGACCGTTCTATAGTCTAGATCTGATGAAAACAGGAAGAATTGTCATAAACTCTCAAATCTTTTAACAGGGATCTCAGTGAATTTGAATGAAGCCATCACCAGATAACGAAAAAGGTAGTTAATGGGACATGGCTAATAACTTAGTGGAAAGTACAGAAACATTTCTACTAGAAGCATGTCAAATTTTGACAATTTTTTTATTTAAAGGTTATTCAGGTTTTTATAGCTATTTAAAAATCTTAAAGTAACTATAATTATCATCACATTTGAGCAATACTTAACTAGTTTCTGCCTTTCCAAAAATTTAGTTTTTTCTCTGGTACTCAAACATCTTTAATATTGTCTTCATAGTCTTACTGTTGGTATATGTTTTATATAGATAGTTTCATCAGTAAAGAAGAATATTTGTAACTCAGGTTGAAATAGGAGTCCTTGGTGCTCTCTGAGCTTGGTTGTTTTCTTGCAGACATTTCATTACTTGAACTACCGTGTTTTCCCCAAAATAAGATCCAACTGGAAAATAAGCCCTAGTATGATTTTTCAGGATACTCGTAATACAAGCCCCACTCCAATAATAAGCCCCCAGTTAATATCATTAGCCAAACGCATTTAGTACCGTACTTCCCTGAACATAAGACCTAACCGGAAAATAAGCCCTAATGCATCTTTTGGCACAAAAATTTATATAAGACCCAGTCTTATTTTCGGAGAAACACGGTAGGTAAAATCAATAGTGCTAGAAAAGAGAGGGGAGGCTTGGTCTCACTTTATATTCTAGTTACTTGCTCTATCAATGTTGGGGGGGGGGGTAATGTTATAAGTTCCTTGGTTGGGTTGTTTACTGTTGGTTTGTTGGCAGTTCCTTGATCCTTATTTATTGATTGTTGGTCTGATGATAACCTATGCTCATCTGGGTGCTGATTGCTGGTGGGAAGGTGTTTTGGTCTTTTTATTCCCTTTTGATTTGTTGTCTCTTTTGCATAGCATGTAGATATTGTCTATATGTCTATTGGTGGTTAATTTTTCAGAATGCCAGGTTTCTAGAAATTTCCTAGTATTTTTGGACTTAACTTGGTCTTGTATGGTCAGTTTCCCAGTTGAAACTATGGTTAAGTCTGTCCATGCTGTGAAATTAGTTTTCATCATGTCTTCTGACTGCTAGTTGGTATTCATGGATGTGTTCTGCCAGTCTTCTGCCTGTTTGTCCTATGTAGTAGTTGTTGTATATTGTAGATCACTTCTGTTTTTTATTCTGGGGCTGCTGGGCCTTTTGGTTTACTTAGGGTGTTTTGAAGGATTTTAGTTGGCTCATGTGCTATATTGATTCCATGAGAGCAAACCGCACTACTTACTAGCACTGATGATGTTACATTTTTATTACAGCTCACATCATTCCCTCATATTTGTTGCTTATGCTAGCTATTAAAGTGAAGTACATCCAGGTTTTAAAAACCTGCATATTATAGTAGTTAAAGGGTGATGTAGTTAATAGAACTGTAGATGGAACAAGCAAAAGAAAGTGCCATGAATTATTTTTTGTTTTTATCAAAAAACTTAAAAAGGCATTGGGAATGCTTAAGGATTCAAGAATTTTTCTTATAAAGGGCCTCTGTAGATTACTTCTGTAGATTATCTAGCTGGGCGGTAACTTACTATACAAGTAAATATGTGTACACATATGCAACTTCATGACACCAACTTCCTTTAATTTAATTAGTGAAGGAAGTATTTAGATAATTAAAGTTTGCATCTCTTGTAGACATCCAGATTATACTCCTGGCAATATCCATGTCTTTATCATTATTTCCAAAGGAAAATGAATTTCTGGATAAAGCTGACATGGTAACATCAACAAAAATACAAAGCAAAATTACATGGCACGGAGAGTCATCACATTACAACTTTTGCATAACCGAGGTGCCAGCAAGTCCAGAAACTACACCCAACTATCCTAGATTACTAGATTACTCCTAAAGATTCATATGGCAGAAAAGAGAAAAGTAAACATATAATTAGTTTTTTAATGATAGTAGAATTAAAAAAGAGCTCCACAAAAATATTTACTGAAGCAGTTAAAACACTGGTTTTCTGAACCTTTTAGAAATATTCTGTATAAATTGTTCTTATTCAGGCACCATTTAATGTTATACTCTTCTTCCTTAACATTGTGCAAAAAACCTTCAATTTTAAAAAAAGTTGTAGAAATGTTTTACAAATACATGTTCCTAAAGATACGTTTGTTAGAATATTTTTCTTTTCACCTTTTCTTAAAAATCAAAACAAATTATTTAAAGAGGTTCTTCCTGATTTGCTGAGAATAAATTCCATCCATAATCGGAAGCAAAAATATGAAAGAAACAAAGGGTTTTGGAAAGAAGCAACAGGATCCTTGTATTTTGTAGTATGCCCTAACATTTTAACATTAATGGTATTGTACATCTGTTTGTAATAAGATATGGCAAACAATTCTCTTTTCTCCTTTTTGTGTCTTGACATAAAATACAAAAAAAGGAAGATTTGGAATTAGTAAAGACTCAAATGGACTTATCAGAAAAAATAAGTTATTCCTCATTTTGGTCTCTCTTACACTGTGTTCACTTGTGTGCACAGCCACCCATCAAAACAAGGATAAAATAGCATAAGAGCATTTCAACCTCTCAGAACAATCTAAAGCAGGCCTTAAAGTGGCTGCTTTGGAAAAATGGGACTAACCATCATTAAGTAAGAAGTTGCTGAATTCGCATATATGAAAAAGTTTCAGGCAATTTCAAGTCTCAACAAACAATGGATTTTAATACATTACAATTTTAATAGTTAAAAAACCTATGATCTGTCTCATGTAACTGTATGTTATAACTATATCACTCTAACATATCTGCACAGCCAACCTATGCCTCTTTCTCCCTCTTGCCTCACCTCAATTTAAATCCTTCAATTAATGTAGCCACATGTATGCATCTGAAGTGAACTGCAGCTCATGAAAGCTTATGCTTTTGAATAAAATTTGTTAGTCGAAAAAGTTGATACCAGCCCTTCAAATGTTTCTGATTCTTTTTAAAAAAACATCCAATATACTGAGCCAATACCAAATAGCTGGCAGCGGCTGGCAAAATGCCACAAAACTGTATTGCAGTATCTCATTCTGTTTTTTTTTTTTTTTTTTTTTTTTTTACAATTTCCCCCCTATTAGGCATAGGGCACATCGTAGCAAATTAGCTGATTTTTTCCTGATCTCAAAAAGCTAAACAAGGTTAGAGCAGGTTAGGATTTGGACAGACCACTGAACACCCCAGAAATGTAGGCTACATAGATAATTCAAGAAAATCAAGTCAGTCATTTCCACATTGTTAAAACATCAAGATGTCACGAAGTGATCAAATGCACAGTACTGTAGTCTGAAAGAACTTCTCGCTTCTATCAGGAAAAACAGCAGTAATCTGAGAGTACTTCCCTAGCAATTACGCAATCGCCCTAATTTACGCAGATGAAAACAACATACCAAACATTTATCCTTTCATTGGGTGACATGAGAAAAGGAAAATCAATTTTTCCCCTCATGAACGCGCTACCAGAGCCAATTTCGCAGGCTAGTTTAGCGTTATGTGAACTTCATATCCGAGTTTATCTTTATCGTGTCATGTGAACTGAGTGAATACGGATAAAGCGTGTCATGGGAAACCCACTCATTCCAGTCACAATACTTTTCCCTCAAATGCGTTCTGACAACCTATCCCAACACTTCCAAAGCATGACGCAAACAATTTCGCACCCTCTCTGCCACACTCTTCGGGTGCATCTTTCCCTCAAGCAATGGGAGAAGATTCGAACTGACAAGCGAAGGAAACACCATCCGCCAAAGCAAGCCAGCTAAAAGGTTCCGCAGCTTCTCCCCGAAAGAAACATGGAATCACACGTGAAGATTATACAACGGGACTGACTCCCGGCGCGACCAATAGTGGCCATTTCAGAGGTGCGCCCGCCCACTCTTTGGAGTGTCAAACTTTTCCTTTAGCCAATCGCCGCCTGCCGAGCTGGTTTCTCAAATCGGGACACGTTTCTGAAGGTGTGAAACCTGAGCTCGGCGGTGCCTGAAAGGAGGGCAGGCGGAGGGTGGTCGCCGAAAGGGGGCGCTCGTAGAGCAGGGCCAGTAGAGGCGAGGCAGAATAGCGGCTGTTTCTGTCCCCTTTTTCTTCTTTCTCCTCCTCTTCCTCCGAGTGTCTCTACGCTGAGGGAAGACTCGGAAATCGGCAGTTTTAAGTTGTACAACCTGCAGTCTCTGCCGCCTGGTTGGTGGGCCGACTGGCCCTCCTTTCGCTGCCAGCGCCGATATTGGAAGTAGGTGAGGAGGTGATCAGAGCAGGGAGAGAAGCGGGCCAGCCCCGACCGGATTTCCCTCCCTCCGCGAAAATCGAGAGGCGGGAAGCGTAGCCGAGTGTGAAGGTCTTTGGGGAGCGATGGGGCCGAGAGGGGTGGGCGGATGCCCGGTTTGATTGGGCGGAGGAGGATCTTTATTCTCAGTATGAGTCATAGATGCCTAGGAAAATAAAGTTACGGTTTGTTTAAAAACTAGTGTATGAAACAAAACAAAGTGAGTTGTGGAATGGATGAAAGCAAGAGAAAGGTTAGGGCGGTGGAAATCGGAGCACCCAACTAATTGGAAGAGTATATGGTTTTTATGTAATCTAGAGAGGCCAACACTATTATCCTCTCTATTGGAATATCTTAGATGATTTTGTTGTTTTATTGGGTGTAAGATATGTGTGTTTAATACTTTAACTGGAGATATGTACCATTGAATTTAATGGGATTTTGCTAGACATATACAAGATTGTGTCAGTCACTTGACGCAACCAAGTGGATTCTACTCAGGCATCTATTCAACTGGGTCACTGACCTAATTGATGTGTAATGCTTAAATTAAATTGTCATGTCTTAACACCGTACTGAATGCATTTGGTGTAGGCAAACTCGCAGATAGATTTTGGAGGCCTAGCCAGGTGCTATTTGAGCATTAAATGCTAGGAGAGAAAAAATAGTAGGTCAGTAGAAGAGAGTGAGAATAGAATAGTTGTTTGGATGTGTACTGCATTTACATTTTCAGTCATGAATGTCTTTTATAACTTAAAACTAATTGCTACAGTGAAATGTTTCTTTAATGAGTTAATGGTAATTCATTATTTCCCTTTGGGAGTTGACTCTTCAGTTTTTACCCCAAAGCAACCCTGCAAAGATATTCAGAGGATCAAAATGACAAAAGACATGTTAAACTTATAGGTTACACAAGCTTCATGTATAGGGATGTATTGGGCATGTGTGACACCTCTGCAAATCTATGAGACAGTTTTGGCAGAGAAAGAGAGAGAGAGAGAGTGGGTGAGAGGGAGAAAGAGTGTGTGTGTGTAGGACTGGGTCAAAACTCCCAATGAGCTTCAGTACTTAGTATAGTGACTAGTCTTGTTTGCACGGATCAGTTTCTGGCATGCCGCGGACTGGTATTGGGCCACGGACCGGAGGTTGGGGACTCCTGGTCTACATGATAGAGGCTTGTAGGTGGAGGTGGGACTCTAGCTTGCTAAAACATTAGCTTCAAAACCAGTGTGGAGAAGCAGGTTGTTGCCTGTTAAGAAATTGATACATATTTGTACATGCTAGAAGCTAATAAACTCTATACTGCTCACTTCTAATATTCACTAATATTAGAAGTGAGGCACTAATATTGAGCCCTGCTCTACATGGGGCTACTCTTGAAGAGTATTTGGAAGCTATAACTGGTGCATGAAGAGTATTCGGAAGCTACAACTGGTGTAGAATGTGGTGGCATAGGCAGTTCTTGCTGTCCTTAGGTTGGGCCAGGTTACATCACTGTTCTGCGAGCTGCCCATTTGCTTCTGGATGCAGTTCAGGGTGTTGGTTATCACCTTTAAAGTCCTTTGTGGCATGGGTCCAGGTTATCTGACGAACCATCTCACCCCAATCCATACCAGTAAAAGGGACATGCTGTAGACCCTATTAGTCAAGGAATTTCAGCTGGTGGAGTCCAGGACAAGAGCCTTTTGCCCTTTGGAGCATCATACTCCCAGAGGTGAGATCGGCACCTCCATAAGGTTCTGAAAAAATGGCTCTGCCAGTTGCTTGGGCCCCCAACAGGGGTGCATCATTCTGAGGTGGCTGTTTGTTTAAGACCCCATCTGCCTCCCCATCTTTTAATTGTTCTCAATATTGTTATTGTTTATTGTTTTATTAGTTTAATGTCTCAGTTTAACATTTGTTAACATTTGCCTCTAAATGAGATGAGTGGCACTTAAAAAAAATCAATAAACTTGAGTTACAACAATGGTAACTCTTTCCATCCCGGACAGCTGGAAAGGCCACTCCTTATTTTTCATATATTTCTAGCAAGAAAGACATCTTTCCTGACACTTTTCTTATCCAACAATTAGTTCACTAACAAAAAGAATAACTACTAAATTTATTGCTATTATAGAAATAGTTGAAAGGGAAGCATTAATGTAGAATTTATTAAACATGCTATAACAATTAACTGGCTTGTTTTTTAATATGCATGTGTGGATTTTAAAACCATACAGATATCTTTTTCGTTTCTTGTAGTGACACTCTCTCCACAAAGATTCTGCAGTAAATGTGAGCAATAAAATGTGACTTTTTTTTTCTCTGACCCACTGTAGAGAGGATTGTGATTCATTTGGATTCATTCACTAATAATGCCAGCTGTTGAATTACTATAAATTCTATAGTAATCTACTATATACTATGAATTATTTGTTTCAGTGCTATTGTTACTTGACAAACAAGATAAATAAGAATATAGAGAACAAAAACAAACTGTTTTGTTTGGTTTTTTTTCTTTTCTTAGGTTTATAAAATAATATTTCAAGTTTGAACACTGGAAAACATTGTCGTGTTGATATGGAATGGAAAACATTACTGTAGTATTGCATAACTGATTACCTAAGGTCAAAATTCTTTGAACTTTGCTCTGAAAAACCTTGGATTCTTTGGCATTTATGTAGCACTTATTGGCGTTAAAATTGTTTAGAATGAGCAACTATTTGAAAACAGCAAATGATAAAATCATAGCAGAAACCATGGATATTCAAATGGAGAATGAACAAAATTTGGATATTCTTCAGGAAGATATTGAGATGAATGGGGAAATGAGTACAAATGATACCAATGAAAATGATTCTAGTGGGCATGATTACCACAGCAATGAGGGTGAAGAAAATGATAAAGAAACAGCTATGATTATGGAATCTTTTGATTACTATAAAAGGTATTACTCTGATCCCAAATAATTGTCTTGATGCTGTGAATATGTGTAGTAATTATTATATGTAATTTGCATTGGTATAATTGTGGATGTTCCATATCTAAATGCTCATACTGAGACAAAAATTATGTCTGACCTTAAAATGAACAAGGATTAATAATGGTGCCAATTTAAATTTTAATTGTGATTAAAAATGGAAGAATTTGCTTTAAAGAGCCTGCCAATTTTTATCTGTGATTAAGTATGCACTTTTTTATATTAAAAAAAATTGATGTATTGGACAATCAGACTAATCTTTTTTAAATATACAGCACTCACTACTGTTCAGTGACAATTCAGTTTTCCCTGCTATGCTGAATTAATTGCAGAATTCAGTATAGGGTTTTTTACTGACTTTCTGACTTAATGAGTACATTATTTTTGCAGAAAGAAAGTAATTAGCCTAATCATAAAAAACTTAGAACATAAAAAACTTAGAAGACATAAATGGAGAATTAGTATATTTCATATTTTTGAGAGTCATTATTGTAAAAATAAAATACACTTAAGCAGTCTGGAGAACAATATGTTTATATCACCTTGCACTGTTTTATAAATCAATAAACCTTAAAAGCTACATTAAACTTGAATTATTTTCATTTACAACATCTAGAAGCGAACAATCTTCTAAATCCAAAACTCGGAAGGAGTTGATAAAAACTTTGCAAGAGCTAAAAGGATATCTTCCTCCTCATAAAAAGATCAAAGGCAAATCAAGTATCCTGGCAACTTTAAAATATGCACTTAGGAGCATTAAGCAAATTAAAGGTAACTATATTAACTATTCATATTCATATTTCAGAAATTAAAAACATGCAGAAGCTACAACAGGAAGAGAAGCTATAATAAAAGAGGCTGTGAACTACAGTAATGCTTTTTCTCCACAATCTTGATATGATTGCTATAACTTCGTTTTTAATGTCAAAACCTAAACATCAGTTCATATAAATATACACTATTGAATAAAATTATACGATGAAAGTTCATATTAATCTATTATTCCTCACTGTCTGTTGTTACACATACGTATAATACAGACACATACATACTGACAACTGTCACATGAAAGTACAGTAGTGCCAAGAGTTTCAATGTGTATTTCACAGTACTACTTGATTAATGGAAGAAGATAGGATATATATAAGATTGATATGGATTCTATTAAAATGAATTTAACTCCAAGATAGATTTACATTAATTAGCTATTTTTTCCAACTTAACTATTTTCCTGAACTTAATATATGAAGTTTGCATTCCAAAATTATAATAGATTACCAACAGATGGCAGTATTGGCTTTTGAGAAGCTCTGATATACTGTATTCTTTAGTATCTTTTCTTTCACTTCAGTTTGTGGGAGATGCTGTAAAAAAAGATTGAGTTGCTATTCATAAAATGGAAGCAACATGCCATGATTAAATTTTAAACTGCTGAAGGAGTCACTTCAATTTAAATTCATCACCAAATCCAGGTTGTTTTAAAGTGATAACTATTAAGATAAATACTATATGTTGCTGGGCCAAAAATATAGAGATACCAGGAGGAGCGGAATTGTGTAATCAATGTAGAGAATCTATGTCCAATAAGCAACCAATAAGTTTCTCATGAGGAAGATAGATGAATCTTCCTGATTGAAGGACCATCGGTTAAAGCAAAATTGTTATAAAATTTAGCAGTTCAAAACATTTGTGGATCACATTATCACATGATGTTCTTCAGTACCAAAACATTTGTGCAAGAAGGGTTTCTTGTCTGCTTATGGCAGAAATGACTATTTCAAGAGGTGAAGTTTGCTAGCAATACTTGTCCAGGGAGTCTACACAGAAGAAAAAAAAATCATGCTATGAAAATGAAGGTGAGGAATGTCTCCACAGGATTGTGTTAGTCATTAAAACATGGGCCCACAATTGCGACCTAGGAATCAAGCATCATTCCATGGAATATCAGAAAGTTACAACGTATATATATGTGTGTACTGTATGTATATATCTGTGTGTGTGTGTGTGTGTGTGTGTGTGTGTGTGTGTGTGTGTGTTTGTAAATAAATAAACTCAGGTGTTAGCAGAAAAAGTCTTGGTTACATATTTTTGGAACACAAGTAGATTCACATGATTTCCTTGATGCCTTTATCAGTATCAACTCAGCGTGTTACTTTGAACTCAGAACTTTGAAACAACAATTACAAAAAAAAATTGGAAGTCCAAAAAGGAAATTCTGGTGCAACATGACAATAACAGGCTCACACATCATAAGCTACTCAAGTGGCAATTATGAAGATGAATTTCACTATCTTATTCCATTTGCCATACAGACTAGGCCTGACACCATGTGACTTTCACCTTTTCCCAAAATTGAAGGAGTATTTTTTGGTCATTTGACTTGGGTTTAGAAATGGTATGAACTTTCAGGATTTGGTTGAAGAGGCAAAAAGTCGAGTTCTTTGTGATGACTTTAAATAGCTTTTCTTTTGTTGGCAGAAGTGTATAGCAAATGATTATGTGAAGAAGTAAACACAGATAACAAAAGAGTTCATTTCCAAGAGCATTTTCCTGTTGAATTAATTAAAACATTCCTATTTACATTAAAGCTATGGAGGTGGAAATGAAAGTATTTTCATTTAACTCTTACATGTTCCATTATTTCAAAGAAATTTCTTGAAAAGTTGCTGTTGTTTGTGAAAAATTAAGATCACTGCATAGTTAACAACCTGCCTCCATCCACTCCTTCATAACTCAAATGAAAACATAAGACCCAAGTGGGAATGAATCTACAGACAGCTTCAATATATCCCTACCAGCTCCATTTCTGTTCTTGTTTATGAAAGTTCCTTAAATATCTTTCTGAATACAAGAGGAATTATTCAGTCTCTCAGGATTAAGCTATGCAAAATAAAAAACTTGTTTTACTGAAATGTAGAGCTTACAAACTGATCACATTCCATGTCTGTTTCATGCAGAATATCAAGATTTAATTGAAGAAGAGTTTTCATTGAATGGTGGAAGAAAATGAATAAAGGCATAGTTAATGTAAATGAAAAATAAAATTGTTAAAATTGCTTTACAATCCAAGTGCAAAAGCTAAAAAGAGACAATATTAAAGCACTTAGGAAAAAGCGTTTTTACATTTTCAAGGTTTTTCTATATTCCCCTGTGGAAGTAAGTATACTCCTTCCATAGGAGAATAAGTAAAACATATATTAAAGTAAGTATATTTGAAAGCTTATACAAGAATAAGAATATAAGAATATTTGAAAGCTTACACAAGAATCAAATTGAAATGATAAGTAATGTAGCACAAGGCTTGCTTATGTGACAAAATGACTAGTGGCCTCATGGAGATTCACTGGTAATATGACCACACAAAATTTTTAAATGGAAAAGGGGTTCCATTAATTTCCCAATCCCATCTTTCTGAAATTTTAAACTCTGTATTTCCTGTCAAGGTACTAAATGAATGGATTTTACCATCAGGTTCCAAGAAGTTTTTACATGTGACAAACTCATCTTTTTAAATTTAAGTGTTTATTGTATTACTCTGAATGAGTAAGTAAGGAAAAAATGTAAAAGCTTTAATACTGTGATATGATAATTACAATTTTAAGAGGGGACAAAATTCAAAAATCATTATAAAAAGAAATAAAAAAGAACATTGCTCAGAAAACTTATTTCTTGCCCCTTAGTTAAAAAAACAAAAAATTCAAAACACTAACTCAAATTTCATAATTAATAAATTAATTAGGAAGTATACTTCTAGCTGAATCAGTATATTAAGCTTATAAAATTGTTCATTTAAAAATACGATTAAATATCAGCCTAAATAAAAAATAAAAGAGTATTTAAAAAGCTGCTTGAATTGTACACATTGTTTTTTTCTGTAGCCAATGAAGAATATTACCAGTTGACAATGATTAATGAAAATTATCTCTGTGATCTTGATATATTATCCTGTACTGTGGAAGATGTTAAAAACATTACTGCAGAGTACACCATGAAGAATGCAGTAAGTATTCCCACCACAACAAATGTGCAAATTATCTTCTTTAATTCAAATAGAGAAGTTTAGCAGTTCTTTTTAATAGTTAAAAGCATCTATAGCAGGGGTGTCAAACTGCCGGCCAGCGGCCGGTTGCATCATGCAGAGGCCGCACCCACCCCAGCTCCAGGAATGCAAAAAAAAGTCGCGATATGTTGCAGTCACGTGATGCAGCAAGTTTGACACCCATGGTCTATTGTATTTAAATTATTTCTGTATCTAGTACCAACATCCCTCACATAAAGGAAAGCCATTGAGATTCTGGACTTAAACCAGGGAGATGCTGATTCCCACTGATAGTGAACCTTATGTTCACTGAGTAAATCCAATGTTGTTACACACACACACACACACACACACACACACACACACACATACACATGTTTACACATGCACACCATTACTTATGCAAATTCAGGCAACTGTCTTATATGAATTTTACTGATTTTTAGAAAACCGTTTTGCTGTTCTTCCTCATAGAGAGTTTGATTCTGGAATTTTTTGAAAAATGCTGGCCCTCTTTGATTACTGAGGCATGCCATAATTTGATTTAAAATGATTTATTGAATAAAGTACAATTATCTTAATTTGCCCAAAGTAATGATATATGTCCCTAAAAAAGATCTTAATTTGATTCAGATATCTGAACTATCCAAACTTAACTCAGAATATATCTAGATCTGAAGCATACCGTTAAGAGTCAAAAGTAAGCCATAATATATTCATTCATTTATTCATTTACTCATTTTCTTGTTACCCAAAAATTGTTAATTTTGCCATTAGTTTAACATATTTGTAGCTCACAGCATTTGTGTTTCTTTTCATTTTGTCAACCTAAAATGTGTTTCATTGAATATATATCATGTTTTAGGATATGTTTGCTGTAGCTGTTTCTTTGGCTACTGGGAAAATTTTGTACATCTCTGATCAGGCTGCCTGTATCCTCCATTGTAAGAAAGATTTATTTAAAAATGCCAAATTTGTGGAGCTTCTGGCACCTCAGGATGTCAGTGTTTTCTATAGCTCAACTATACCATATAGATTGCCATCTTGGAGTATTTGCAATGGAGTTGGTAAGTCAGTTGAATTCTTCAATTGTGCCTACATTAATATGTTTTACCTATACTTTTATATTTCTTTTAAAAAATAATTACAATTGTGTTGGTTCATGAAATATCTAGAGCCATAATTGTGTATTTCTTTTTTACAAATACTCTTTTGAGCTTTTCTGATTTTTTTTTTTTCTCCTTATAATGAAACCACTTCTCTTGGCAAATTCTGATCACTGTTTCATTGCTGTATTTTTAAAGTGCAGTAGACAAGCTGAGTTGGCCCATGGCTGTGAAATCACAGGGATATCAGGGCTATAATCTAGATTAGGAGATGGAAAATATCCCAGAAGAAGGTAGTGCCAAATGAGTTCCACAGGAACAAAGAATCTGTATGGTCTTATCCATACCATTAGTAGGAATTAACTTTTATTTGAAAGAAACTCTTGCTTTTGTTAATCATTTCTTTGCCCAAAGAAATCTTAGTTCTTTAGTCTCTTAATTCAGGGATGCCCAGCCCCTGGGCTGCAACCCAGTACCACACAAGCGGGAACCGGGCCATACAAGTGGTGGACAAGCAGGCAAACGCACGAAAGTCCCATTTGTGCAAGTGGCAGGCACACAATCCCACCACTTGTGCAGAACTATTTCCTCTCTTACCACCGCCCTATGCTGGTCGAAAGAGCCAAAAAGATTGTGATTGCTGTCTTATTTAGAATGTTATGTGTTCTGTGGCTAGCTTTAATTTTTCAGATTAAAGCAATTCTTCACATAATAACTCCATATAGTTAAAAGCTGTTCTTGCCTACTCCTGTCAGAGTTTAAGAGGGAAACTTTTAAAATCTTAAATTATGAATTATTTGAAAATAGTAATCAATTTCAGTTTCCCAAATGATGTACAGGGACTCCTCAATTTACAACAGTTCATTTAATGACTGTTCAAAATTACAACAGTACTGAAAAAAATGACTTATGACTGTTTTTCACACTTAAACCATTGCAGCATCCCCATGGTCATGTGAACAAAATTTGGATGCTTGGCAACTGACACATATTTATGACAGTTGCAATATCCCAGGGGTCATGTGACCACCTTTTGAGAACTTCTGACAAGCAAAGTCAGATTCATTTAATAACCATGTTACTAACTTAACTATAGTGATTCACTTAACAATTGTGGCAAGAAAGGTCATAAAATGGGGCAAAATTCACTTAAGAAATGTTTCATTTAGCAACAAAAATTTGGGGCTCAATTGTGATTGCAAGACAGGGACTACCTATAATAAATTTAAAACTGATAATTGTAAAACTATTGTATCTGCAAAATTTTCTCCATTGAGGAAAGTTTTCACAATGTTGGGACTTGAACTCATGTCTATAGCAGTGCTATATGGGAACATTTTCCTGCTTTCCTTTTGTTAAATGTGATTATATTAGTTGTAATGTGAAACTGAAAATACTTTGTCTTGTAGTATTTATTCTTTATTCTTTTGCCATGCATATGCGAGCCTAGAGAATCTTTGTCATACCTTATCTAACAGTGAAATGATAGAGTCCATTTTGACAGATAAAAAATAATTATGTCATTGGTAGATTTTAAAGTTTATTGTAGCAGCCAAATATTTGCAAGTAATCTCTGTGATTGCTATTAATTTGAAAAGGGATACATGCTTATCATAATTTCATTTTCAAATTTAATTGATTCTTTAGTAACTGAATTTGTTTTATCTTTATGTTTGTACTTGCACTGCCAAGACCATCATCTTTATATCTGTGGGATACAGAATTCAATTCCCTTGGGCCTAATACATAGGGGGGAAATACAGATTATAAACATGCATACAAGGGCTGTACAAATGATTTGGATAGGTCACTTCACAAAGCAACTGTAGCTTCCAGCCTAATTTGTTATGTGAAATGGCAGGTGATACTTTGAAAGCTTGGCATAACCATTTCAGTGATCTCTTCACATTGTCTAAAACAGTGTTTCTCAACCTTGACAATTTAAAATTGTCAAGGTTGAGAAACACTGGTCTAAAACATACTTTCCACTCTGGTTGGTGCAAGTTTCTCCCAACCCTCACTTAGAATTGTTCTGCCAGCAATTCAGCATTAACTTTCTGTTTTACCAGAATAAGTATCAAAGGAACACAGAGTTTTGTAGCTTATCAAATCTTTTAAATATTTTTATAGAGTCTGCTAACCAAGAGTTCATGAAGGAAAAATCTTTCTTCTGCCGCTTCAGGTAATACAAATTATGATAACCAATAGTCAGTATTTTGTGGGGACTTGGACTCAGGCACACCCTTGTATTTTCTCATAGAAAAGTTGCTACTTTTCCAATCCTTGCCTTTGATCATCACTGATTACTATTCAGAAGACATAAATGAAACATTTTAATAAAAAATATGAAATTTCCCCATTTGAATGGAAAAAAAGATACCGTACATTCATTTCTGAAAATCCCCAAAACTATAACATATTTAATCATCTATAACAATATAACAACTGAACTATGCTTTTTTTCAAATTTTTAGTGCAGGAAAAGCGAATATAAATGGGAATCACAACCACCCATTTCGTATGACCCCATACCTTATTAAGATACAAGGTGCGGAAGATCAGCTTTGTTGTGTGTTGCTTGCAGAAAAGGTACATTCTGGTTATGAAGGTAATTTGTTTTCTTTTCAAAGCAAAAAAGGACATAGTATTTTACAAAAACCACTCATCTTTTGAGGAGGCTATCATTGAAAACATAGGGAAGTTTCCATGTAAAAAGCCATTGTACTTTGTAGAAAAGGTGACTCAGAAGATAATTAGTTTAAAGTAACCTCTGTTACTAATCATGTTTACTTTGAAGTGAAATTATTGGTATTAATATTATAGTAATTTATAATGCCTCCTATTTTTCCCATTCCTCCTGTTACAGTATCTATGTACCTATTGGAAAATAGAGCTAATTGGTTTCAACTGGATTTATAAGTATGAATAGAACTGCTGGCTTTACTTCCATATTGCATTTATTTGTTCTTATCTTTATACTTTATATACAGTTTAACTGCCCATGTGGCATCTAAGGCAGCTGACAATTTCATGTGTTTGTTTATGGTTAAATTATAATAAAAACAGTTACATCCACTATTAAATTAACTCACTCTGAAAAGTTCTGGCTAAAGACAAAGGTCATTATTTTCCTAAAAGTGAACAGAATGGAGCTGAGCATTATTTCTTTTTTTTTCTTTTTTTTAAAACAGGTTTTATTGATTTTTCCAAGTGCTTAGGAAACAACGTGATGATGGGGTAATCAATAATCCAATAACAAACAAAGTCATACATATATTCCTTAGGTTAACTCCTTAAAGGTTCCCTCTCTATTTCTCTTAATTAATATAACATATTAAAGTTAATACATTTCTAAATAGAGCTCAATCAATCAATACATTTATCAATAACATTTTACTTATACAGATCCATGTCCTGTTTTTAAGCTTTACATAATTCCAATTATCATATTCCAATTAGCCTTAAATGACCATATTATTTACACTTCAGGTAGCCCTAATTTCCCTCATTTCATTACATAATAATTATGATATCTAAAATAAACATATTGTTCCAAAAGTTACTTTCTTACTTTTCCCAGATCTATTCTATTTCTTATACTAATAGCTCCTCATTTCACAAATCCATTTCCTTATTCTCATTCCATTACAAAATAGTTATCGTATCTAAAATAGCCATATTATTCCAAAAATTACATTCTTACTCTATTTCACAAATATATTCTATTTCTTATCCTAGTAACTCCCCAATTACTAATAAAGTATCTTCCATTGTCTCGAGCATTATGTCTGAGGTATTCTAGCTTGGGAACAACATGAGAAACATGTTTCCTCTATATTAGACAATTCATTCTTTATTAGTATACTTTCTGGTTAAAATAGTTTTGACAATTTTAAGAATGACTATTCCTATATTTTGTTTTTGTGTTATGATCATTTGGTTGCTTGGTTGCTTTATTGTACACCACTATGGTCCATTTGGAGGTAAATTTGTCCTGTCAAGAGTAATGCAGCCTTATCCAGAACAGACTGAACCCAAATCCTAGAGCCTGTTTTCTACTTATCAAGAAAGCTCTATCTAGTCTGAATTTAATTTTAGCTTGCTAATGCTTATCTACTCCATTATCAAATTTAGTATCAGCCAATTTGACTTCAAATTAAATGGTATGGAATAATATATTTTGATGTCATAAGTATATCATTCATTGTAAAGATTTCTTTAAATGGCTTCATACTGAAATTGTATGGAAAAAGATGGGGCTCCATATAAGCCCATAGTCCTGTTGCTTAGCTATTGAACAGTAGTCCTCTAGCATTATCTAGCAAGAAAGATTGTTAACAGTCATAAAACTGTCAAAGCCCAATCCCTCCTGACAGTCCATAACACTTGCTGATAGTATTGATAGAAGTTGACAGGTCTAAGAATTTAAATAAATATCAGTTTATGTAGTTTATTATTACATAAACTGATATTTATATATATATCATCCACCAAGACAAGGAAAGCAGTTTCAATCCCATATCCCAACTGAACCTGGTTGAAATGGATCTAGATAATCAGTATTCTACAGTTATGTCCAGAGTGCAGGACTACACATCTGGAGTAAGGCAGATGTAGAATGATTATTAACTGCCTTCACTACTGTGGAATTTAACTACAAATGGGTTTCAGTCTCTGCTTGAGTCTCAAAATTTCCTTGTGCTCAAACTATTGAACATTTTGAGATCAAACTGATCCCTCAGCTTCCCAATAAGCAAGGGACTTTTTGCAAGGGAGAAGGTTTCGTTGAATGATTTTGTCTACTACCCATATCATTTTAATTAATAATACTGCTAACAATTTGCAGGAAAATTTGAAGGGCTTTCAATAAACCATTTGAATATATCAGTCATGTAGGACAAACTATTTTAGCCAGTTCACTACTCCTTCAGAGGGTTATACTAGTGCCCAAACTGAAGGCGATCAAAGAATATTGCCAGTAAACTTACACAGCACTCCTCTGCCTTTAAGAATACCAACTTTACTCTAACAGACTACTAGATTGAGAATATGCTAAATTCCATTTGTGTAGTCAGATACTAATTGGGAAAGTCCATGGTTGTTGATTGAAAATGTTGAACTGCTCTTGATTGGAATAATTCATTGTGGACATTGAACTCCACCAAGATGAGAAGACTGATACAACCCAATGCTTCTTTCAAAGTGCCCACAATATCTTAGAAATGGGAAATATTAGGCAACAGATTGGGCAATGGAACAAAACAATCCTAAGTGAACCAGGCACATAAGTATAAATTGGTCAGCTGTTGCATAGAAAATTGAGTCAGCAAGATGGAATTCCCATAGATTCCTACACCACAGACACTTACCATGCCACTGTAGATCTAAGTAACCTTGGAAACAGATCTGAAGGGAAAAATGTTTCTCCTTCGGGTAATAGATGACTTCTAAGTCAGCATTTACATTCAGAGATTAAATCTTCAATGAGATAAGTCTTTTAATAGCAAGTAACCTGACATTTAAAACAGGGTTTTAGGTAGGAGGGAGGATGGGGAAGCCTTTTTTATTGTTATCACTATGACTTTTTTTTGATAAATTGTTCCCGTATAATAGTCATGCTGAAAGCTCCTAGCATGTGTACATTTGATAGCAATCTTGACTAAACAGCATGTATGAAAATATATAACTTGCTGACTCTTCCCAAAATCTCATCCCCCCTCCCCACCACCACATACCACAATGAAGCCAGCACAGTCAAGACTGACAAACAAACCTATTTCCTCACTAGCCTTATCTCAGAGGCTCTTTTGGTCCTAGACACAACTCAGTTCCATTCATCTCCACACCCAACTGGAGGCCTGTTTTTCTGCTTTCCTCTGTTTTCCTCCGCCCATGGCTCATTTGCTTCCTGTTCACCTTCTTTGTTGATTTAAAGAGGGGAAATAAAGTTTGTGTTGGAAATAAAGATTTTGTTTATCCTTTCCTGTTATATTCTAAATACTATCCAGTAAAAATAGGCTTAGCTAATCTCAATAAAATAACTAGATTCAAGGATTTAAGTGCTTTAATTATATTTATTTTAATAGTATTTTAATGTCATAAATTCAAATAACTGTAATTTGTTTATTTCTCTTAAGTGATTAGTCTTAAATCTGTATTTAAAATACAAAAGCACCACAGAATTAAAACAAACCAGACCCACCATTTGATAGGTCATCTTGCTTTTAGTACCAGTAGATGTGAAGAAGTTGAACGCTCCAAAAATTATCTGTTTCTTTAGTGTATTCTGTTTACATACATTTTTTATTTCTATTAAATATGTTTTTTCTTTCAGCACCTAGAATTCCTTCAAATAAAAGGATCTTTACAACCATCCATTCACCAAGTTGCTTATTCCAAGAAGTAGATGAAAGGTGAACTAAAACTATCATGTTTAATGTTTTAATATATGTTTTGCTGCACTGTTTATGAAAATAATAATGAAAACAGGTAATATATTATATATTATAATAATGCATTCATTTATGTTGGCTTTTGTCAGATTATGAAGAGGAAAGATCTGCATAAAATTAAATTAAATATAATTGCTGTTTCAGAATGATTTTATTCCTCTTTTCTCTCCATTACTAATAGCAGAAATTCGTCATTAAGTTCTAAATGAAAACTTGCATTATAAAGATTAAAGCAGTGGTCCCCAACCATTGCGGCTTGGCAGCCGCCGGGGGAGAGAGTGGAACTGAGTCTTGTGAGCAGCGGCTGGTGTGCAGGGAGCACCGCGTGAAATGCAACTTGCACAAGTTGAGCACGTGCGTGTGCAGCATGCCAGCCTGCCGCTCTCATGGTTCAGTTGCAAATAGGCCACGGCCTGGCAGTGGGCCACAGCCCAGAGGTTGTGGATTAAAGGACAGCATGGCTATTTCATACTGCTACCTGAGTTCTATAAACTTCTATATTATATAAATAACTTTTATAAAGAGATATACTATTTTTCCCACTGTTTTGCCAATTTAAGTGTGACATAAATTCCAGATATACCTATTTTCATTTTATTTCGATTGAAATTAAATTGATATATTGCATGTATAAAATGTGTTCTGTTCTATTTTTATTCAAATTTGTTTTTAAGAGCTGTGCCTCTGTTGGGATATTTACCTCAGGACTTAATTGGAACTCCTATTTTACTACATCTTCATCCAAGTGACAGGCCTTTAATGCTAACAATTCACAAAAAAAGTACGTTCTTTTACTTTTGCTTTTCATGAAGGGTGGGAAGCAATCAATGAAGAAAACCAATGTAATAGAGCATAAGGATCGTTCATGGAGCTTTAAGAAATATTTAAATGATTGATCTTCTGATTAAATTTTGGTTAATTACGCCACTCCACTCTCTTCTGTCTTGTTTATTTTTAGATTCAAGTATCTGGGCAAAACTAACATTTTGTCTATATTAATGCACATTATAGGTGACAGAGAATAGATGTACAGTAATTAGACCCATTGATATAAAACCTTGATTATGAAACCTAAAAAACATGATCCATAAAGAATTCAAAATTGAGATGTGTATGTGTATGAATTAAGATTTGAGATCATCCTCAGTCTCAAAGGAAATGTTTTCTGTACCCACACAGAAATGTTTACAGAGAGGAGTATCTGTGAATCAATATGCCAGATCTTCAGAGAATGTGACAGCTTTAACACTATGAAGAACAGTGCTTTATGAAGCACTTTTTTAAATGCCATACACAGCCTTATTTTCAAATATGGCTTTAGCAAAATAACTTCTATGCAGTGGTAGGATTCAGCCAGATCGGGAGAACCGGTAGCTAATTTTTTGTTGACCGGTGAATCAGCTGAAGCCCTAGCCCAGTGGTGGTGAATCTATGGCACGCGTGCCAGAGGTAGCACTCAGAGCCCTCTCTGTGGGCACGTGTGCTGTGCCCTAGAGATGACCAGGGACTGGCCCTACCGCCCTGGCCCCACCCACCCAGTCTGCCATGACCACTGTGGCCACACCCACCTGGCACCCGGTGATAAATAAGTGGGTTTTGGGTTGCAGTTTGGGCACTGGGTCTCTAAAGTTTTGCCATCACTGCCCTAGCCCTTTTTCGCAAAGCCCAGAATGGACCACTGGAAATGCATGGATGCCACATCTGGAAGTCCATTTTGGGCCTCGGAGGCCCAGGCCCAGAACAAACTTCTGGAAGCGACGTCCATGCAGAGAACCGGTTGTTTACGTATTTGAATCCCACCACTGCATATATGTATATTAATATCTAATTGTGGTTAGTTGTATCCTTGCAGTAACCTTCAGTTCCTCAATAGCCTCACTCTAATCTGTTTTGGAGTTATGAAAATTTCAAATATTTGACCATTTAAAATATTATAAATGTTGAATTTAATACAGCCTCTGACTGTTCCAAGTGGTACAGTCAGTCTAAAATTTAGAATCTTGAATTTAGAAATACTTTGTAAATATTGTGCCTATTTTCAGCAATGCAAAGAGAAAATAAGTAAATTTTACATTTTCATGTCAGCAGTTCTTTTCATCTCCAACTGATCTAAAACCAAATTAGATTATTCATGCTGAAACTCAAGTTCAAAGAGTTGTTTCCATCAAACTGTTAGTAACTGTTAGTAACAAGCAAGTCATTTCTCCTGTAATATTTATAAGTTATATAGTTTTATAGTGATTTTCAAAAATCAATTTTCTCTATTTCTTTATTATTAAAGTTTGCATGAATTTTTTTTACAGTACTTCAGCATGGCGGACAACCATTTGATTATTCACCAATCAGATTCTGTACTAGAAATGGTGAATACGTAACTCTGGATACAAGCTGGTCCAGTTTCATCAATCCTTGGAGTCGAAAGATTTCATTTATAATTGGAAGACACAAAGTTAGAACGTAAGACATTAGAACGTAATTAATTAGTATCAATAAAACAACTCATGAGACAAATTGTTTGCAAGAGGTCTCCTTACATTAGAATGCCCCAAAATCTAATTTTACAATTAAAGAGATCCTCTATATAAATGGATAATTCTCCCCCCCCCCCCATTCTTCCTTCTGTAAGAACAGATGTGAAATTCTCAGTGCCAGATTGGATAGGAAGCTATTTACATATATAGCTTGCCTAAATTTTTAAAAGAGAATAACAATAAATAACAAAATAAAACCCTAGTTATAGGCAAGGGATTATTTATTTATTTATTTTCATGTTGTGGTGTGGTACCAATCTATATTATGTCTTCTATGTGTAAAAGCTGATACTAGGAAAGGCCGGTCCAAATCAGTAAGACAGTGAAAAATAATAAGTTCCCCTTATCCCCTTCTCTTGAAGGGGGAATTAGTCTAGATTAGTCTATTTTAGAAAAAAACTGTTGTCAGTTGTATGATTGGCATCTTACACTGTTTTGCCCATATTTCCATCATGGATGCCATTGCAGACTGTATCCAATGGTTATACAATATAATATTCCTTCAAATCAACATATTCAGTGTTATAGCGAAATCTTCCTACCACTAATTCTTTTTCCTGTTAATAGTGATAAGAATACACTTCATTAATTCTGGAGGAGCTATGTGAAAAGCAATGTTTTACACTATGACTCCTATGTAAAGAGGCTTTAATGATTTCCCTATGGGAATTGAATTATGTAATTGAACATGCTTGTTTGTTCTGCAATGAAGTCTAACCATTTTGCACAAACTAGGTCAATTTTGAAATTATTGTTTGGATGTCCTGTGCAAGGTTTCTCAGCTTTCTTTTTTCAGGGATATGTGATATATGGGTAGTTTATGACTAAACTTGGAGTCTTGGATATTCTAGCTTATGTTCATTTAGTAATCATGAATATTTTTTGGAAAGTCAAAATGTCAAATTAAGGTAGTGGTACCAACTTGCATGCGTATTTTAGAAATTATTTATTTAATGATCAGGGAGTTAACAACTGCATTTAAAGTTGCATGTGTTGAATACTAAATGTTTATAGGAAACTTACAAGTGTCCCAGATCTTCCAAGTCTTGTCAAGAGTTGCTTCAGAATACATAAATAAAATCATGTTTGGAGACTGTAAGCCTAAATATTTTATCAATGTTTGATTTAAATGTGTATAGATGCCATAGAAAAAAAACAAACTATATGTAACTGAAAGCAATACACTTATCATTATATATTATTAATGATTTTTAGGAGCACTTTGAATAAAGATGTATTTGCACCTCAACACACAGAAGAAAAAATGCAACATCCTAATACTGAAGAAATTACAGGACAAATACATAAACTATTACTACAAGTATGATATTTATTTATTATATATTTATACACAGTTATACATACACACATGTGGGAAGCAGACAATCTTGGATTACAGCAGCAGTTTGGACCAGAATTGCCATCGCTAAGCAATGCACTTGTAAAGCGTGAAGTCACATGACCATGTTACATAGTGATGATGGTCTCAGTAGTCCTTATTGACATTGTAACTCCAAGACTCATATGGGCTTATGGAAAAAGCAGGAGGGCAGGTAGAGACTATGGACAAATAGGTTTGTGCTGCAAGTGGTGGGCAGGTAGAGGTGATCCCCAAGATCTCACATTCTCTAATGGGGCTCCTCAGCAGAAAAAGTGATGGGAGTGATTTATGGGCATGATGTGCAACCTTCTGTGCTGATTTCCACATTTACTTTGCTTGTGGGAAGCCAGGAAGGAAAGTTGCAAATGGTGACTATGTAACACAGCTCACTGCAACATCATGATTGCAAGCCAAGCACCTGACCATCCAGATTGAATTCATGTGGCTGCAGGGAAGCTGTGATAGTCAAAACTTCAAGGACTGGTCATTAGTCCATTTTTTTTAGGACCACTGTAACTTTGAACAGTTATTGAACAAATGGATGTAAGCTGAGGATTACCTATACATACACAGACACAAACACAAAATACATGAACTGTGTAACTAGTACTTTCAAAATATTGATAATTTTGCAAATAGAACTTTGCTTTTGGTGTTTTTAAATATCATTATTGTGTGCTGAACCCACCTCACATGGTTATTGTTGTGAGAAAATAGGAGGAGGAAGGTGTGTTGACTTTGTTCCCCATCTTGAATTATTTATGAAAATAATAAAGGAGGGATGCAAATAAATAAGGTGTGCAAATAAATAAGGTGTGTGACTAGCAGTGTCCTTCATTATTGCAATATATATCTATTTTTAGCCTATATATAATAGTGGCTCTAGTGGCTATGGAAGTTTGGGCAGCAATGGATCACATGAGCACCTAAGGAGTGTGGCTTCATCCAGTGACAGCAATGGGAACAATGAAGATACTCAGAAAATACAGAAACGTGTAAGTTTGACATTGTGTTCTATTAATGTTTTCAGTCTAATGAGAAAAAGATAGTGGTGTTTTTTCTCATAAATTTGAGCCACTTAAACAATTTCTAATTAATTATTCCAAATAAGCATGCATCAAGTATGGTTCAAAGACTGTTTGTTTCATTTTGATTCCAGATTTCTTCTCAAAATATTTGTAAAAATGAAAGTGTGGACAGAAATCATGCCTACTTTGATTCTAAATTAAAGCTTGAAAATCAGAAGAAATCTTACAGAGGTATAAAGCAAAATCAATTTAAAGAAATTACTATCAGTTATTTTAGCTATATCTTCAATTATTTTAACTATATCTTTGGTCAAATGCACTCAGTCCAACCCTTTAACAGTAGTCATTTTGTGTGGTATTTCCTATGTGCTTAGATAGCAATAACATTTAAGTTTACATACTACCCCATAACACTTTACAGCACTCTCTGGGCAGATTTCAATGTAGAAGCTTTATCTGCATATTGTCCCCAACAGTCTGGCTCCTCTTTTTACCTGTCTTGGTAGGATGGAAGGCTGAGTCAATCTTGAGTCCCGTCAGCATTGAACTCGCAGCTGTGGGCAGTTTGCCTGCAGTACTGCACTTTAACTGCTGCACAACCAAATCTTGAGTTGCCTATGTTCTTAGGCTTGGTTTTATCAGTTTCCTGTCTTTGGAATGTTTGATTATGGGAGAAAAACTAAATATACCTTTGTATTATTTTTATTTTTATGATGCTTAGAGAAACACACTGACTACCGTGATCATACCAATAGTATCGCTCAATTGTTTGAAAATGATGGCATTGGGACTGCTTGTCAAAGGAGTCTAATTGCAAAAGAATCAACTTGGAGAGAACAAATGATATATTCATATCAACAGATAAATTGTTTAGATAATGTTATCAGGTAAACAATATTATATTTCACTGAATAACTGTTATGTATGTGTATGCACATTTTAAAGTGACTGTTTTTATAAACTTAAAGTTACTTTTTCTTGTAGATACTTGGAAAGTTGCTGTGCAGCTGATACTGTGCAGAAAATGACTCACCCTACACCATATACTGATGTAGCATATAGAGAGAAAATGAATGCTAATACAACAAAAGCGTCCACAGGTATTGGAGAGATTGTTTATGAATTTCACAGAGAAGTCTTATGCACATTTATCTTCAACTAATGTTACTTCTTATCCAAGTGTATTTAGTATTGCAGCTTCCATTTGGGCAACATTCAGTCTTATAATATGGTCTTTCCTAAGCTGAGCCTTACAACGCATGTAAAGTAGTCACTTTAAGAAAGTCAATCTTTTCTTCTTCATCCATGATCATATTTAGACTATGAGTTTCCCAGCCAGAACCAGCAACAGTGAAGCAGGGAAACTTGTGATACATTCATGTTATTGGTAATTATCTGTGTTCTGTATTATTAGGTTTCTCAAAGACCAAAGAGAGTAGTAGAAAAGAAGAACAGAATAATTTTCAACAACCAAAATTTGACCATTTTGATTTAATCCAGTCTTAGAAATAGATTTACTATTTATACCAGCATTTAATACAGCACATATATGAACAAATTAGATTACAGTGCACAGGCATTTAAATAATCTAAATATTGAAATGAAGAGGAAAATAATTCCTGTTCTTGTGCTCATTCAGAAACATTTCTTCAAAAACGTATTGCAGGGAATATTTGCTTCCATTATAGATAAAGTACTTGGATGTTAAATTGAATAACAGTTCTAATATTTTATTCCTCTTCCTCAGCCTAAATCTGTATAACCCAGAAGGAATGGCAATTCAATGCTTTAGTCTTGAGGACAGTGATGGAGACTTTTATCAGTAAAAACATATTTACAAACTCATGAAATAAAAAAGTGAAGCACATATAGTTTAAAAAATTCTAGAATGCTGAAAAACTACACTGTATAAAACCTTTCCTAAAGGTTTTTGACTTCTCAGAAGTTTGCTGCTTCTCAGTCTAGTAGATCTGGACAGTTTCACTTGACATCATATTTGATTTATTTGAAAAATTTGCATTTATTCTTTTTATTCTTTTCTCTTTGTGTATTTGGTGTGTTTATGTTGTTACTGAAAAGAAAGGGGACAGTCAAAAACTTACATAGGTCCTGCAGTGTTGGAAACATCTGATACATCCAATGCTTCAGCTCTTATGGATGCTCATTTAACTTCTTTGACTTTTCCTGGACAACCTGAAAGTGTAATATCTTTTGTCAGTCAATGCAGCCACAGCAGCACCATAGTTCATGTTGGAGATAAAAAAACACAGCCTGAATTAGGTATAGTACCACCACTTTTGTTATGAGACAGAATATGATTCTATATTCTTTAGAATAAATGTAGGAAGTTTATTTAGAAATTTAATTGTAATAATTATATGCTCTCTTTCCTGTATAAATGGAACAAACTTGGACAGACTACTATAGACATTTACACTTAACATGTTAACAACATTAAAAAATTCCTATATGTCTGTATTCAACTTTTTTTTTTTAGAAATTATAGAAGACAATCCATCTGGGATAAAATCCACAGAGAATCAAACTATTGTTCTACATTCTAACCGTTCACAAAAGAACAAAGGAAAAGCAATATTTAAGAAATTAGGTCTTACAAAGGATAGCCTTGCAATACATACTCAAAAAGAAGAGTGGAGTTTTTTGAATAAGTGTAAAGAAGTAAAAAGGTTCCATATTTTTAAGTGTGCTTGCAATTGCTACTTTCAAAAAAGACCCAAAGGATGCCCAGCGGAACATGGTATGCTTTTTAAATAATTACTGTTAATTTGTTTAAGACTTTGTGCATAGTTCAGTACAAATGTAGATATGTGTTATATTATGTGCTTCTTCCAAAGGTCAATACTGGATTTCAGACCTATGAGCCTGGCTAGGGAATTGAAGTCCACATATCAAAGTTGCCAAATTTAAAAAACACTGTTAGCCAAACAAATGAGAGATTAAGTTATCATTTTCAATCTACAAGTAGTGTGATTTGTCACTTTGAATGCAAAACAAGGAGTATGATTTCTTCCTATATTTATTGTATTTATGCAGATTTCAGATTTAAAATCGCTTCTGGAAATGGAAGAATTAGAAATGTGTTATAACAAGGCATTTAAATAGAACAAAATTTGTTAAAGCTTAAAATATTTCAGGACCTGCCAAGACTTTTTTTTTAAAAAGCCTACTAAATTTTTCACCTCTGCAGCTAGCAGAGATTCTTCAAGTCAAAAGGTGTGACTTCTAAGACAGGGGTCCCCAGCCCCAGGGCTATGGACCAGCACCGGTCCACGGTGCACCAGAAACCAGGCCGCACAAATGAGCAAAACTCTTGTCTGCCCATGCCTCCCTGGTCCACAGAAAAAAACTCTCTCCAGAACTGGTCTATGGTACCAAAAAGGTTTGGGGCTACTGTACTAGGAAGAGACAGTTTGGTGTGCTGGTTAAAGAGTTAGTCTAAAAACTAAATGACTGTGAGTTCTAGTCCCGCCTTAGGCATAAAAAACTGGTTGGGTGACGTTGGGCCAATCACTCTCTCTCAGCCCAATTCCCTTCACAAGATTCTTGTTGTGGGGAAAATAGGAGAAGGAGGGAGTTTTGATATGTTTGCTCCTTTGAATTGTATATGAAAAAGTCGCTGGATAGAAATAATTTTTAAAAAAGAATAGAGTCAAAACAGATGTTCAGACACAATTAAATAACTTCTCACTTTTTCTAGATATGTGTGGATTACACCATGATCCTCGGATAGCTTTTTCTTTGAAGAAAATTGGAAGGATCAAGAAATCTAAACAAAAACGACACAAGCAACATGATTCTTCAAACAGTATAACGTCTGGTACCAAACCCTTGCATGAATTTCTTCTGCTTAGCCCAAATAATGCAGCTTCTTCTCCATCAAATCATTCACAAGCAAGTTATCCAACTGTGCCTGTTTCGACAGTTATGCCCACCATTTTTCCATCTACAGGAATCACACCAGCAGTTCCTGAAGTTTCCCTATCTTGTTTTAATGAAACACAGGATTTCAAAAAACATTGTCCTCTGCCATTAAGTGAGTTTGTTCCACCCTTAATGACTCCAGTAGTAGCACTTGTTCTCCCTAACCATGTATGTCCTCAGACAAATAATAGTATTCCTCAGACTTCTTGTCTTGAGCCACCTGGTTTTTCTGTTCAGTCTTCTTCCTCTTCAGAAACTTTGCTTACAACACCTCCTTCATTTGCTGCTTCAAACAAGTTCCCTCCTGAGGTAGATTTTTCAGCACAACCACTTTGTTATAATTCTCTAGCAAATAGTGAAAAGAACCCTGTTGTAGAATGCCAAAATAAGCTGTCCCGTTCTTGTACACCAGAGTCCTTGGGTCTACAAGATCAGTCCTCATCAATGTTGTACCAGTCACGGTGTAGTTCTCCTTTACAGTTGAATCTTCTGCAATTAGAAGAAATGCCAAAAACATTGAGAAATGGAAGTATTGCTGTAGAGGGAAATTATGGGACTTTAACTGATGGAGAGATTACAAATAAACAATTAAGCAGAGATAATAAAAGAAAAGCATCATGTGCAGTAAGCATTATTTATATTTATCTATTATGCATGTGAAAAATTATTTAGAAATTGTCACTTAATTCTATTTATTTAATACAGATATTCCTTGATTACAACCATAGTTGAGCCCAAAATTTCTGTTGCTAAGCAAAACAATTGTTAAGTGAATTTTGCTTCATTTTATGACATTTCTTGCCACAGTTGTTAAGTGAATCCTTGCAGTTGTTAAGTTAGTAACATGTTTGTTAAATGAATCTAGATTCCCCGTTGACTTTGCTTGTTAGAAGGTTGCGAAAGGTCATCACATGACCCCAGGACTCAGCCACCATCATAAATACATGCCAGTTGCCAAGCATCCAAATTTTGATCATGTGATTGTGGAGACGCTGGTTATAAAGCTTTTTTCAGTGTTGTTGTAACTTCAAAAGGTCACTAAACAAATGATTGTAAGGCAAAGATTTCCTGCAGTGCACAGTATCTACAGTTACAGCTACAAACTATTTTTTTTAAAAACTAATAGTTTTAAAGGTATATGATCAAAGCACAAACTTGCAGTGTAAAAGCTACTGTATCGCATTTTTAATAGAGATTTTTATACTAGAAAATATGAACAGTTTTCAGTACATTTACACAAAAAAAGCTCACTTTTCTTATTTGTCTGTGGAGCCTGTATTGCAGACAATTACATATTTCAGGGGACTGTACATCATGTAGCCCAAGTCTCTGCTTATTGTAAAAAATCTAGAGCAATACCACAGGCTGTCCCAAAGTTGCTTTTCAAAAGGCAATTGGATTTTTTTTCCTAGAAAATGTTTCATTTCTTAATCCAAAAAGCTTCTTCAATCTGAGAATCTCCATAGACAATAGCACAGGTTGCTGCATGATTTCTCTTAAGGAGCTCCAGCAAAAGACAGCCCATGATTCCTGTAGAAAGTATGGAATGTACATTATTATGAATTAGATTAAATTCCTAACTTTAATATGACTTTTTGCCCATAGCATTGTTTTAACTGTAATAGTTGGTTTTTTTTAAAAAAAAGAAGGCACAGTATCTCTCTTCCACTAATATAATTGCTATGTGAACCCTATGTAATAAGCTTACTCCTCATCTTATTGATAAATATTCTTCCTTAAATATTTAAAGTTATACTGTTTTATTTTTGTTTGTTAAGGTTAACACACAAATGGAAATTCAGAATACTGATACATTGTCTTTATCTACTGATCTACTTGATTTACTTCAAGAAGACACAAATTCAGTCACCGGATCAGGAAGTTTTGCTTTAGCAGCTGCTGAATCTTTAGAATCTGGATCAAATGGATGTGATATGTCAATCTATGGAGCAGGTAAGGTGGCACGTGCAGGTATTCTGGAGGTAGTTACATGGAAAATCAAGTTTAATGAGTAAAAGTGTTGTTTTTGCCTTTTGTAGGATGTAGTGAGACAAGTCAAATCAGCAAGTATATTGGAAGTATTAACTCCTCAGAAAATAATCATAAAACAAAATGTTCACAAATGGAAGAAGAGGTACAGTTCATTAAATGTGTCATCCAGGATCCTCTTTGGCTAGTGATGGCAAATGCAGATGATACTGTTATGATGACTTACCAGATTCCATCACGGTAATTTTAGTTTTGATTTTGATTAAAGTTGCACAATATCTAAACTAAATAAGATTTCTGATCTCAAACAGCCATTGTCTATTGTTCATGTGAAAATGTATGTTTATTTCAATGGCATCTACAGGTTGTTGCTACTTTTGCCAGAATGACCCCTTTCTCCCTACTTGGCCCCACAGCCACTACTGGTTAAATTCCCTTAAACCAAATTTTACTTTTATAAAGGATTCATTTATTTTTTACTGATTCATAGTATTGTTGAGTTGGAATAAGCCATTTAGATCACTGAGTCCAAATTAAGCATTTGTGATAAATAATTGTTTAGCTTCTCTTGGACTACATTCAGTGAAGGAGAGCTCACCATTCCTTCAGTAATTAATTTCACTGTCAAATTTGTTTTCCTGTTAAGAATTATTTGGTAATGTTCAGTCAGAATTTGCATTCCTGCAAGTTAAAATAATTATACTGTGTCCTGCACTCTAGAATGATGGAGAACATGACTTGATCTTTGTAATATCTGTTTAAGAACTTTTAAATATTTCTCCCTTCAGTTAGCTTTTCCTTAATGCTAAAAATATAATACCCAGTTCCTCCAGATGGCTGTTTAGAATACCCTTCTTTGAAACTGTTCCTAAAATTACAGAAGGTACATAAAATACCCTGAGAACCTGACTAATATAGTAGAAATCTCATTTACCATGATTGGAAACTCCACAACCGTCATTTATAGCTATATGACTAACATCACATAAAAATAGAGCTTTTTAATACAATATAGAGTTAAACATTATAATAGCAAACTTTAACTGATGCAATTAAAATCACATTTACCTTTTTTAGCATCCACATCATGATGCTGACACATTCAGTTTATGATCAGCCACAATTCTAATTTTTTTTTCACACATAGTATCAAACTAGGTTTCTCCCTTGTTTGAATCTTTTTTCCCCCAAGGGAAATAACTTTGCATTTCTCTATATCATATTTCATTATGTTGGCTATTCTTATCTTTCTACAGTAGTTAGTATCCCATCCAATATTATGTTATCTGCATATTTAAAAATATTCACTTCTTTGTTCATCAGTTTTTAGAATAGGTGTTCATAGTAAGCAAAATCAAATTGCCTCTGGTTCATTTTTACCAAAGCCATGAATTTTATATGAGCACTATTTCTTGTTCTGACTTTCTCATGCATTAGTGATGTTGAATACTCAAGCAGCAGAGACATGACATTTGACATTTTCTTTATTTCCTTTGAAACAAAGGACATGCAGATCTATCTGATAATCTAAAAATTATGGTATAAGTGTTTCATCCACAGCCATATTGGCAGCATCCATGGAGAACTAAGTGGATGTCTCTGAAGTTTTTAATCAGTAATTAGAAAAAGAAAACCTTTAGCCTTCTCTACAATTTAGTGGTTTCTGTACCATTAGAATTACATGTGTTCATCTTCTGCTCTGTTATATAAGCCAACAAACAACATCCATAGTGGCCTTTTTTCATTGTGCCATCCAAACAGAAGCAATTGTTTTAGCCTATCACTATCCTAAAAAAATAAATATTTTTCATTGGCAGTAATTGGGTCTCTTTCAGTAGACAGTTAGAACAGTTAACCAATGGAACAACTTGACTCCAGAAGCTGTGAATGCTCCAGCACTGGAAGTTTTTAAGAAGAGACTGGACAGCCATTTGCCTGAAATGGTACAGGGTTTCCTACCTGAGCAGAGGGCTGGACTAAAAGATCTCCAAGGTCCCTTCCAACTCTGTTATTCTATTCTATTCTATTCTATTCTATTCTATTTTTTCAGTATATCTATATATGTTGGAAAGTTTGATATGGAATCCTATCTACCACACAACATGAGTCATTCAGAGATCAAGTAAATAGAGAATTTCTTAACAATTGATTATACCCTGTTTTGTGCACAGTTCCTATTTGCCCTCATTACATCAGCAAAATATAGAATTGCATTCTTGCTCAAATAGGCATAATAAAAATTCACATGAATGTATACATCAAATAGTAAAATATACAGTCTAAAATTAAATTGTTTCTGTAACATTTGCCTGCGATTATTTGTAATGTTTATGTATTTTGGCTATTTGAAGGCTGAAATGAAACTGTTTATTTTGTATATGCTTATTTTAGACAATTGGAAACTGTTTTGAAAAATGACAAATTGAAACTGAAACAAATGCAGATGTTCCAACCAATATTTACAGAGAAGCAAAAAAGGGAGTTACTTGAAGTTCATCCATGGATTCAAAAAGGTGAACTCCCTCAGGCTCTTGCAAATTTGGTATGTTTTAGAGATTTTTTTTTATTTTAAGTATAAAAAGTATTTTATTTATGGTTAGTATAATAAAGATAGGTAGGTTACACTAGCATTGGAACATTTGAGTATACCACATTTACTTCTCTATAAATCTGTAAGACCACCCATCTAACCAATGATATTCTCAGCATGGAACATACCATAAAAAACATCAGCAACAGTAAAACAAACAAACAAAACAACAGATTGAGGTTCTTTCATTTAAAACACAAAGCACTTACAGCATATATCCATGCTACTTCCTAAATTATCAACTTGGCTCCAATGCCTGAGGGAAGAGCCACTTCTTCACCACCTTCCAAAAGTCTTATAAGGTTGGAATTATCTATATCTCTGAGGGATGCTGTTCCATGGGGCAGGTGCCATAACAGAGAAAGCCTACTTCCTAGGACTCAGTAGGTATTTCCCCCTTACCGATAAGACCCGTCATTTGCTCTCTTTGTCCAATCTTGACAGACAGCTGTAAACCCTTGGGGGAAGTTGATGTTACACATAATCCGATGCCAAGCAGATGACCAGCTCCTTGAACTGTACATTGAACTGTTGGGAGGCAACACAACTCCCATCACAGTGGTGTTCTATGGGCATACCATGGTACACCTAAAACTGTTTCTGTGCTACATTCTTGATTACCTGAAGTTTCAAATGCCTTTCAAGGGCACCTTATAGATTATGTTGCAATAATCCAATCAGAAGGAGACTAATAGTAGAATTTAATCTCAGTATATTCAATTCAGGTTACTCCAGCCAATTGTTTTAATGTACGCTCTCTTATGGACACGATCAAATACTTCTAAGAAAAAAATATTAAAGTGGAAGATTGCAGTTGATGAAGGTTCCAGTTGATTAAAAGTTATAATTCACTTTTTCTTTTGAAGGTTTGTATTAATTGTGAAGAAGGTAGCTGATCTTACATACAAAACGAAGGATAAATCAATGAAATGGAGCTTAATGAATGAGGTTGTGAGAATAGTTCACCCATTCTGAACCCATTCAACAGTGAAAATGTGTAATCCATGAAGAGAATTTCAAAATCATCTGCTTTCAGCTGAGGCAATGCATCATTTTGTCTCAAAGGTTAAGTTTGTTTCTTGTGAAATGAATCTCATATGCCAAACAAATTGATTTTTTTTGTTCTAAAGAAAGGTCATTTGTTAATAATCTCTCTTTATGGGAACATGTCTTTCTATTATTGTGAGCAATTTCTGAAAATGATTTTTTGTTTGCATTTAATAAAATCTTTTCAATTTTAAATGTTTACATTTAAAGTTGTGGTTTATTAACATTATAGAGAATGCTACTAAAACCTCACTGGATTCCATAAGAAATATAAAAATAGTATGTCATCCTAACATTTCTTCCCTGTCTCTATTTTTTTCTGTAATAGGAACTATATATTTAAGATGTTTAAAAATATCTTAAATGATGTTGAAATTAATAGTTAATAGATTTTACAAGTGTTTCAGTTGTAAAACAAATCCACTGTTAACCATTAAATATATTTTAAGTTACTGCTATATTTTAAATGAAATAACAGTAGCTTATTCTTTCTCTGATCTCCACATCTGAGGGAGAAACAATTTCAGGTCAGAAAATAATACCATTGTGTTTGTAACTGTTGCATTTCATATTTAGTAAATATTATAATTTGTTCCATTGTCCTCATCTTAGAATTCATTTGTCACTCTTGTTTTAGAAACATACTTCTATATAATAATAAAAATATGCTAATGCCTTAGAATTAATTTTTATGTCCTTTCTTTTAAGTCATGTGTCACTTCAGAGTCATATTCTGTGCTAAAATCATTTCCCAGCAAGGAGAGTCTAGTCTTAACATTGACAATAATTCCTCTAAGATAATAGCATAATATATATTTATTGTAAAGGAATGTCACACAGTAAATCCGATTACACTAATCATTCTTAATTGCCTTCCTTTGCTTTGTGTGATACCCTTGAGTAGTTTTAACCATCTGGATTACATTCAGTATGCTCTCTCTCCTGATTCTTTAGTCACAGAATGAACAGCAGTATCATCTTTTTTGTGCGTGTGAAGAATTACTGTCTTGTCTAACTCTGTTGCAATGTTTAGTCCGCCTGTGTGTGTGTGTGTGTGTGTGTATAATTTTGAATCTTCTGTTTCAAAAGTTAAATCCAAAGATTCTGCAATAGAGTGATGTCCCAGTATTATTTCTGAATAACAAAAGATTATTTCCAGAGTCAGTTAACTACCCATTGAAAGAAATCCAACTGTTCACTTGTTAACTTCTCTTCACCTGGGCTTCCAAAATCCATTAAAGGTGACAACCAACACTATTAACTGTTTCCAGAAGCACAGTGGCAAGGTATGTAGTGGTGTTGCATGCCTCAAGTGGCCGCACTAACTATCTATTCTGGCATATTCTGAAACTTCCAAATGCTCTTCAAGGGCAGTCCCACGTAGAGTGTGTTGCCAGATGGGATGTCATGGTGGCATGAATGATAGGAAGTAGGGCTTTTTGGTGCAGGAAAGGTGCACAACCTGAAAGGTGCATAGCTCCTGCTTATAGGCCTTCTTTGAGCAGGAGCTATGAGTCCAGGAGAACCACAAGATTGCACATTGGGTCTGTCTGAGGCAGTGCCACTTCATTAAGAACCAATAATGTAAGAATCCTGGCACCACAAGGTTGAAAAACCCAAAGCTATACAGACTTGCTTCAGTAGATCCAAAGTGTATTGTGCATCATCCAGACTCCCACAGCCCAGGTATAATTCTAATTATGATATCACTTAGGTGATTCTGGGGTGAAATATGAGTATTATCAACCTACTGGTGATACTTATGCCAAACTATTGGATTGTGTCAACCAACAACTTTGTGTAAATGTTAAGCAAGAGGAATGAAGAAACCAAACCCTAATTTTTCCTTAGTTCTACATTGCTTCTCTCCTTGATTAGTTTCCATCCATTGTTTCTTGTCTTGCCTTCTGGTGCTTTGGAAAATAGGTTGATCCCGTCTTCTTTGTGGCAGCCTCTCAAATATTGGAACACGGCTATCATGTCATCTCTAGTCCTACATTTCACTAGACAAGACATACCCAATTCCTGCAACCGTTTTTGAAATGTTTTAGCCTCTAGCGTTCCTAATCATCTTTGTTGCTCTTTTCTGCATTCTTTCCAGAGTTTTAAAATCGGTTTTATAATATGGTAACCAAACTGGATGCAGTATTCTAAGTGTGGTCTTATTAAGGCTTTATAAAGCTGTACTAATACGTAACGTGATCTTGGTTCTATCCCTCTGTTAATGCAACCCAGGATTGCATTGGTTTTTTTGGCTGCCGTACACTGCTGGTTCATATTTAAGTGATTGTCCACTAGGACTCCAAGATCCATCTCACAGTTATTGCTATTGAGTCAGGTTTCACCTAATTTGTATCTGTACACTTAGTTTTTCTTGTCTAAGTGTAAAACCTTACTATTCTCTACACTTAATTTCATTTTGTTAAATACTGAATGTTTTGTTAGATATTCAATAGTATTTCAGTGCTTTGATTCTTTAATACATATAAATTACTTTTAGGCACATGATTGTTTGGTGTGGCAACTAAGTATGTAGCCAGTACTAAACCAAATTATTAAAGTCTACTGCCAGCTCCAAATCCTGAAGAGAATAATATATAGTACCGGAGATTATCAAAATTCTGAAAAATTGTATTTCCATCCTCTAGATGTCACTCTTTATTTACATTTAAATATATTTAAATTTACAGAGATTTTAACTATGTTGGAATTCAACTTCGATTAAAAATTAAAAGTTGCATTTGCCATACTGCAGTCAGTTAAAGCCAGATATAGAAATATTGTATTGGGCTCTTCTACTAAAAATAAAATCACATTGAAAAGCAAAACCAATTAAGCAACTAAAGAGCATGTCTGTTGGATCTGCCACTCTTCCTATAAACATTACTGAATCTGCACATATCTGTATAGATGTAATTACTAATTCTACTACATGGATATCAGAAGAAACTGATAGAGGGAAACCTAATAAAAGTTTCAATACTCTATTTGAATGATTTCTAACTATATATTACTAAAATTCCTTTGTCTGTCACTGGAGTAGCTTTAATCATGCATCATAAAGCAAAACTTTTGAATCAATCTACCTCAAATGGGCTAACTTACCGAATGTGTCCAGAACCCATGACTCAAATAGAATTTGGGAAATTTATAAAACATTTTATGACATCAAAATTACCATAAAGGATTTTGTAACATTAAACATTTTCTGTGGTCAACTCTGATGACTATACAATTGAACATGGGCTATTTTCAAGACATAAATATCTTTGACTATTTCTCTAATTATTCTCTGAATTTTTAACAACTTTATAAGTTCTGATATTGTTGAAGGCATTGAGGAATCTGGTAAGGAAATATCTCTGAAAAAATGAGGTCACTGTAAATTTCAATATCCATAAGGGAAATAAAAATTGATAGATTGTTGAGGAGAAAGAGGATGTCTATAGTGATGATGAAATAGATGATAGATGATAGATAGCTAGATAGACAGACATGCATACTCAACGCTTCCAGCTTTGGAATAAACAGGCATCCCTACTTCTATATTCCCAACGATTTTTGTTTAATATGTTTTATAGAATATTACCTCAAATTCATATGTGTTTTAATTATTTCTAAGTCTAATTCCCATAAGGGTATACATGTGCTCCTGTTTCTGAAACACTACTTTTAAAAATCATTACATTTCATATTTTATTTTTGAAGTATTTACAAAAAACTATGAAAGACATTGCAGACATACTATAGTTGAGGACAATGCATTTCATACGAAACTATGAAATTTATTTTCAGGCGAAAAAGGTGAATATCTAATACATACTCTATGATACCATATCAATTATTTATATGTATATTTAAGAGGTATGGTATATTTGATTTGTGGCTTGAGTGGGTTTGGAGAGCACCCTAGGTTCTTCAGGTATAATTCTAATTATGATATCTACACCTTTTTCTCAATATAGATTTTTCCTAGTCCTATTCTCTAGTCTATACAGTATAAAAGAGTGTTTCTCAATCTTGGCAACTTGAAAAGATATGAACTTCAACTTCCAGAATTCCCCACCAAGCAAGGCTGGCTGGGGAATTCTGGGTGTTCAAATCCACACCTCTTTAAGTCGACATGATTGAGAAACACTACTATAAAACATGTATTTAAGATCAATGACAGCCATGTAAACTGTATTCCAAAAACATATTAAAATATATTGTGGTTTTCTGAAATCTAAGTGTGAAATCTTTAATCAAATTCCCTAATCATGATTGATTATAACCTAAATTATCTTAGCTATCATTCAGTATGTTGTCAAAATCCACTCCAATAAAGAAGCTCTTTTTCACCCTTCTGGACATGCAAAAGCTTCTTTGGGTGCACAAAATTGCTAGGGGGAAAATGAACCTTATCCATAAATAATATATCCATAATTAAGTAATTAATTAAGTCACATAATTAAGTCACAACAATCTTTTTTCTATTATTTTCAAAAGCCAATCTTTTTTTTAACCAACCAAGAAGTGTAAGATTGCTGGATATCTGGGTTTGGTAGAACCTGATAAATTGATTATCTGGAACATAATTAGGCTAGTTCCATATTTGAAAACTATCTTTTGCATACTAAATTCCTTTCAAAGTTTATTTCTGAGCCAAATGAAAAGAAAAAAATGGTCTGTAAATAATAATACCAATACCTGTGATTTATTTTAGCCATTTTAAACCATCCTTACCTGATGTAAAGATGCATCAGATCTAATTATTTGGACTATGTGGAGGCATCTACTGGTTTGCCTTCAGCAAATGATGTAGTGCACCCCCATTTCATAATCATAGCATTGTCCTGAATTCTGTGTTTACCCCTTCACAACATGACATTTCAGTGTCCTGTGTTTCCCATTTTGCTGAAAGTCTGAGCATTCATTGAGCTGCTTCATTTTAGTGAAAAGCAGGGATTGCCCTTTTAGAATTCATTGCTCTTTTTCTCATGTTTTGACTTCAATTCTAATCATATGTTATACTTAAGCAGTATAAAATGATGAAACAATGTGGCTAACATGTCAAGGCTATGAGTTATAACTTGTTTCAATAACTTTTTATTTTTGAAGTATGCCCTAAAATGTTTTTCTTTCAACCGTGAGTTGCATTTGCTCGCTCAGCTGATATTTAAGCAGCAGTAACTGCAGTGGATGTTGAGCGGAGA